ACTGTCACTAGTCACATAAACCACATATTGCTTGACCAGTATTTTGAAACGAACAACAGTCCGAATGAGCCCAGGTTGTGCATTTTGAACATTGACTCCACTTCTCTCCTTTTGCAGCCTTACTCCATAAACCATTACAAACATAACATTCCCAGTCTTCAACACTTAAACTTTTAACTTTTTCTTTACCCTTTCCTAATGCACTTTTATTTTCTATTTTGTGTTCTTTTAACTTTTTTGATTTTTCAGAGGATTCAAATAGTGATTTTCTGTAATGTGATGTTGTTATTTTATGTGATTCTTCTCCTTTTTTTGGTGGTAAAATGATCTTTGGAATTGGTACAATATTAGAGAAGCATGGTGTTATATCAAAATCAATATTTTCTGAAGATCCTGAGGGCAATGGTAATAAGGTGCTCAAATTAACTTGTGATTCAATTTTATTAAGTTTATGTAAGATGACATTAGATCTTTTGTCTTCATTAAACTCAGTGTCTGGAATTATATTTGGACAAAAAGGATAAATTCCAGATGTACGAAAACCAGAACAGGCAATTTCTACAGAGGCAGCCTTATTATAGGCTTTGGAGAATATACGTTCTCCAAAGCGTATAATAAACCTATAAGCTTTGATCAAGTGGTTGCAACTTTTTTTTTTTTTTTTTTTTTTTTATTTGCATTCACTCCCAACAAGGCTGCAAGCAACCACTATTAAGTTGGGAGTTATTAGGAAAAAAAAAAGAACAGAATTATAGAGCAAGGAAACGGTTGACAGAAGACTCGAAAAGTTGAAGGTTGTATGAGTCAGGAAAACATAATGATGGGAGAGAGTTCCAAAGGATTGAAGTGCGGGAAAAAAAACTAGATGAATAAAAGTTTTTAGAGCATGCAGGAACAGATACAGTAAACGAATGAGACTTAGCTGAATGACGAGTAAAACGAGAATGAACTTTAGTTGATGGAACTAGAGATGATAACTCCTTTGAGCAGTGACCATGATAGTATCTGTAGAAAAGAGAAAGAGATGCAACTTTACGACGATGGGAAAGAGGTTCAAGCTTAGCAGATAGTCCAGGTCCAACAACATTTACAATGCGTTTTTGGACCTTGTCAAGAAGAGAAAGTGAATCGTTAGAAGAACCAGCCCAAATATGACAACAATATTCCATACAGGGACGAATAAGAGATTTGTAGAGGTAGAGAATGGAATCAGAAGTAAGGAAATGGCGAGCACGATAAAGAGAAGCAACCTTAGCAGAAGCTAATTTAGCAATCGATTGTATATATGGTTTCCATGAAAGGTCAGTAGTAAGCGATAATCCAAGAAGACGTAAAGAGGAGGACTCAGTAAGAGGATTGCCATTCATTCAACTTATGAGAAGTATGAGGTGGTAAGGTTATAATAACTAATCCATTTTCCTTTGCAAAATCTAACAAATTAATGTTTTTTGTATGAGCTTTGTGCCCATCTAAAATTAAAAGAATTTTATTTTCTATAGAAGCTCTAGTGTACTTAGTAAAGTGTTTTATATACTCTATGAACAGATCAGTTGTAATCCATCCATTTTTAGAGCAACCTCCAATTGTTCCAAAGGGAGCATGGTCGATTAGTTCTAATTTCATTCGCTTTCTCTTAAAAATCATCATTGGTGGAACAAATAGTCCAGTTACATTCATAGCATAAACAACGGTTGTTGTTACACCCCGTTCACCACTTGTTACAGAAGAAATACAATGTTTCCCTTTTTTTGTTATAACTTTAACAGGTTTATGTACAGTTGTAATGCCTGATTCATTGCAGTTAAAAATTTGATGAGCTTCAAACTTATATTTTTTAATAACATTTTCTATATTATTGAAAAAAATGTTCACAGAACTGCGATTTAAACCATAAATACGATTTAAAGACAACCCCTGAGGCTTTCTTATTAAAAGGTCTGGATGTCTCTTCAAAAATCCACTTACAAAATCTCTTCCTGCAACACCATTATATTTATTAAATGGATGAACTATGTTATACTTTTCTACGTACTGGAAGACAATTTGTTGAATGTCACTTATCGACAATCCATAATAAACTAAATCCATTTCTTTAATGTAGCTAACTAATTGATTTTCAGTATCATCTGGCAATACTTTTTTAAATGAACCAAGTGATCGTTTACGAATATTACAAGATTCTAAATTCTTTAATTTTCTTTGAATCCTTCTATGTAAAGCATCTTTATTTACACTAAATGTCAAAGCTGCTTTTCTCAGTGACATTTCCTTTAATCTTACAGAGTCGATTGCCAATAACATGCTCTGCTCAGAAAAATTGCCACAATCAGTTTTTCTTTTATAGTTTCTAACCATATTTCACTCTCTCTCTCTCTCTCTCTCTCTCTCTCTCTCTCTATATATATATATATATAATATATATATATATATATATATATATATATATATATATATATATATATATATATATATATATATATATATATATATATATATATATATATATATATATATATATATATATATATATATATACATACACCAACTACAAGAATTATTAAACCATACATGCATATATTAAACTTAAGTATTTAAAGTACACATAACATTCATTGTATTATGTTTATAGTTTACTGCAATAACCTATATGCTATAATCTACTCACTATAAATTTTATATACTACTTATTTAGGCAATTATTTGCTTCAATTTGATTAAATATTTATTATATTTAAATATAAGTTAACAAAATATAAAACATAATTCTATACTAGATAACAACTAAACATTTCAATTAATAAAACAAAAAGTAAGTAAATACAGTATAATAAATTTAAATCTACAGCATGTAAATGTTAATATTTGCTATGATTGTTGTTTTAATGTAAAACGTTAAATAAAAATAATATTAGATATCGGCAAAACAAATGCAAACAGAATGTCTCGTTTTGCCCCGCATCATGTTGGCATCGAATTGCTTAATTTCCAGACTATTTTATTGAAGAAATAAAATAACAAAGAATGGAAATGATAGAAAAAGGCTTAAAGATTCTAATAAAAAAAAAAATTTAATATAAAAAGCTTTTTCACTCAGTGAGATCAAAAAAGGCTAGGAAAAAATATAACAACAAAACTTAAAAATTCTTAAATTTCGCGAAGCAGAGGAATAAAATAATTCCCATCTACTCAACTTTTTTATTTCAAAGTGACTCAATATATTTTTCTTGACACAATATAGTTTTAGAACACAACTGCACTTTTAAAAATCTTGCAAATAATAATTTGTAGGGCTGGCATCATGATAAACGCGAACTGTCTCATATTGCCCCGCAGTCTCATTTTGCCCCGCGTTACCCTAAAAAAATAAGCAAAAAAGTTATGAAAACATATACTAAACTCCATAACTCTTTTTTTTTAAATTAAAAAACATATACTAAACTCCATAACTCTTTTTTTTATCTAAAAATAAATTTTAGCAAAAAAAAATTTCAAAAAAAATCATTTTATTATACCACAGCATGGTTTTTAAGTTGTAAGGGTTAAATAAATAAATGTGTTTCGATGCTTAAAGAATTTCAAAAAAAAAAAAAAATTGGTATGTTAAGAAACCTAATTACAGTTTTCCGCAGTTAATTACTCAAAATTGTTTACACAGCTTGACAGTTAATTAAACTCAGTGTCTGTGTGGTTTCTATATCTTAAAAACAAGTGTTGTTATCAACTTCGACTAAACCAACTAAAAGTCAACTAGTTAAAGTTGAAATTAGTCTAAAAAAAAAGGAATAATTTCTTCAACTTAAGACTTTAATGAGACTTTAAATAACTTTAATAAGACTTCCTACGAAGGGACTAATAGTCAATTTAGTCAAGTGAAAATCTTAAAATCCTTTTATCTTTTTATTCAATTTAACTTTCTAATAGTTTATTTTTGTTTATTCTTTTAAAAACAAAGCATATAACTATAACTACACCTTTTCAAGATGTAAATGAGAACATGAAAGTTGTAATTAAGAAGTCGTAATATGTAATTAAGAAACACAACATGTAATTGAGAAAACGTTATATGTAATTGAGAAACACAACATGTAATTGAGAAAACGTAAGATATAATTGAGAAATCATAATATGTAATTGAGAAATCGTAACTTTTAATTGAGAACACATAAATTAAAATAGCAAATTCACAGTCTAAGTTTGTAGGTTGTTACAAAAGGTCTTTTTGGACATGAATTTAAGTTATAATCTTAAATTTTGCTTTTGTATGCACAAGTAATAATAATGGAATTGAAAGATCGTTGTGTTATATGCCAATACACTATGACCCGAAAGTCTGTGATTAAGCTAAATCCGTGTCAACATTTATGTCACCAAATTTGTTTACGTCCAGTTCTGGAACAACCAGATTCAAGTTGTCCGACTTGTCGGCATGAAATACACACAACTGAACAAGTTGAAAGGAAACGTTACGTTTTATCTTCTCCAAATGACAGGAGAAGAGTTGTTGAATGTGCGGAGCGATTTGAAGATTGGGTGAATCTCGCGCAAACGCTAGGTATCAAATATAAGACAGCATACAATTGGGTTCGCAGCGGAAATTCAAATTTCATCGGAAAAGGAGGTTTTAAACCGAAAAAATTAACCGAAGATCAAATCGAAGAAACATTAACATGGATTGAAAATGATTGTCAATTAACATTGGTGGCCATCAAAACAAAGATATTAAGACAATTTAACATAAACGTTAGCACAACAACAATAGCAAATTACCTCGAAGGCAGATTGTTCTCATTAAAAAAAGTTTGGTTGGATGAAACAAATTGTAACCTTTTTTGTAGAAAAACGCAAGGACGCGCGAGACAAGGAAAAAGAGCAATTATGAAAGTACCTGCTTCAAAAGGTTTAAACATACACTTGATCGCAGCTATTTCAACTACAAATGTCGTCATGAAAGAAACTCGCAGGAGATCATTTAAAGCAGATTCCTGTAACGAGTGGATGTTGGCTATGTTTCACCAGTGGGTTACATCCGGAAATCGTTTGGAGGATTTGGTCGTCGTAACAGATAATGCTCCTTGTCACGCTTGTTTGCAAAGGGTGTTTGATAATTCACCAGCTCAGTTGTTACGTTTGGGACCTTACAGTCCAATGTTGAACCCGGTGGAAACGATCTGGTCCAAAATTAAAAGTAACGTTAAAAATGCAATTCGCATTCCACCTGTATTAGGTGACGGGATTGCGGAACAGCACATGCAGTACTTAAAACGAATTGTAATTGAGGCAAAAAATACTATAATGGGAGGAGATTGTGCACGTGCGGTACAACACACAACCACGCACTATGCAACTATTTTAAATATGGAAGACGTACAAGTTGGTGCTTAAATGATCAATGAAGTGATTTTTAATTATATAATTTTTAATTATAATTTTTAATTAAATTATAAATTTTTCCCTAAAAAATTAAAGTTACGCTACAAATCTTGCGTCATTTTATACGCTCCATTTTTTTACGCGCCCTTTTTTTTAAGCGCCATTTTACACTTACTCCTTTAAAGCGATATCTAAATTAAAATTTTTGTGTTCTCAATTACAACTTTCTATTTCTTAATTACAACTTACATTTTCTCAATTACAAGTTACGATTCTTAATTACAATTTTCGTTTTCTAAATTACATCTTATGTTTCTTAATTACAACTTACGTTTTCTCAATTACATCTTACGTTTCTCAATTACAACTTTTGTTTTCTCAATTACATCTTACGATTCTTAATTACAATTTTTGTTTTCTCAATTACATCTTGAAAAGGTGTAGAGATATAACGGATTGTATTCGGGTAGACGCTTGCCCAAAGCACCAAATATTTGGTACCACTTTCCTATTTAGAGGGTTCCCACCTGGTTCATTGAAGTCTATATCATGGGTATACTGGCAAATAACATCAAGTCAAAAATTGTTAGTTTTGCCTTAATGATGCAGTATTGTAAAGTCTACAACACTCTAAAAACTGGAAAAATACATGTCGAATGTAACATCTTTAAAGATGTTTAAATTTATTTTTTACAGAGAAAAGCTTTTCTCTGGTTACAAAATTACAGTTAACGTTAACTCATAAAAAGGTGTTTTATTAAGGTTAAAAATTTTTAAATTTAAAGGGTTAAAGGGCAGGGAAAAAAACTAGACAAATAAAAGTTTTTAGAGCATGCAGAGACAGAGTTAAACAAGATTGAGTTTTAGTTGATGGAACTAGAGATGATGAACCCTTCGAACAGTGACCATGATATTATTTGTAGAAAAGAAAAAGAGATGCAACTTTACAATGATGGAAAAGAGGCTCAAGCTTAGCAAATAGAGCTGGTCCAACTACGTCTACAATGCGTTTTTGGACCTTGTCTAGAAGAAAAAGAGCATTATTAAATGAACAAGCCCAAATATGACAACAGCATTCAATACAGGGACAAATAAGAGATTTGTAGAGGTAGAGAATGGAATCAGGAGAGAGAAAATGCCGAGCATGATAAAGAGAAGCAACCTTAGCAGATTCTAATATATGGTTTCCATGAAAATTAAGAAGTAAACAATAATCCAAGAAGATGTAAAGAAGAGGACTCAGTGAAAGGGCATGAATCAATTATGTATTTTATTAACTTTTTTTTCATTTGTTTACTTGATGCTTTTGATTTTCATAAATACTTTCATACAGGGCCGCTTCAAGCTGGTTTGAAGGCCCTGGTGCAAAATTAAGTTATGAAGCTTCAAAATCAAAATGTTTTCTATACATTGTAAACATGATTGTAAAGACTTTGATATATAGCAAGTATTTAAGGCAGTCTCTAAATCATTGGGGTCTGGGAATGAATTGTCCAGTTGCTGGAGTGGTCGTTCTCTTATATTGTTTTGCTTCGTTAACAATTAAGTGATATGATGTTAAAAAATAAAAAGTGAAAATAAATTACTTTATCATTTTTATGATAATTTGTTTAAAAATATAAATTATTCCCATATTTCAATTAAATTGACTTCTAGTCAATTTCTAAAATGTATTAGTCGACATTAGAAAATATATTAGGCATCCTTAAAAGTATATATATATATATATATATATATATATATATATATATATATATATATATATATATATATATATATATATATATATATATATATGAATATATATATATATATATATATATATATATACATATATATATATATATACATATATATATATATATATACATATATATATATATATATATATATATATATATATATATATATATATATATATATATATATATATATATATATATATATATATAAATATATATATATATATAAATATATATGTATATATATATATATATATATATAATAGTTTAGATAAAAATTCTAAAAATAAAATAAAAAAAAATTAACCTCCATTATTTGAGATTCTCTCGATTGCATGCTCTTCATTTTCAAGAATATCAGCATGACTAAACATTTGTCGAAATGATGTTATAGCTGAGCGAAATGAATTCCACACAAAATTAGTGTTTATTGCACCTGCATCACTTGACTGATTAGAAGAAGCATTAATTTCAGCATGATATGGGCTAATGAAAAAATTTAATAAATGCTTATAAATATTAACCAAAAAAGATTGTTTCCTTTTTTATGAGTCCAAAAAAGATTGTTTCTTTCTAATTTTTGGTATCCAGGAGCTCTAAAATTATAAAAAAGCTTATGGACTACTCATGGGAAAAAATTAAGACTTTTAGGTTAGAGAAATGATCTATTTTTAACCCAGAGCTCTTAGGTATAATGATGGTAAAGATTTTGGGTTTCTGGGCTGCAAAAAAGTCATTAAATCTCATAAATTTATTTCTTATAGCAGATCATAATTCAACCAACATGTTTAGAGCTTCTGTACACCAGAGACCATGAAAAATTAGAGATATGAAGCTAGAGTCCTTTTGGGACTCTGCATCACTAATTCTTATGAGTAAATTAACAATTACAAACATTTTATAATTTGAGTAAAAAAATTCACAACAATCAACTTACTTGCACAGAAATGTATTTTGATCAATTATTGTCGATACATAAGTTATTAAAGATTTTATTTGCCTTTTCTCATTTTTCTTAGCTTGCTCAATATCCCCAGAACATCTGGAAGTTGTCAACTGAAGGTGTTTTAAATAACATGGCAAAAGTACAGACACAACAAACTAAATAATAATAATATCAATAATAATAATAAGACACCAAATAACTATAAAAGGGTGTTGAAATTCAATTTTCTAAAAATTTTAATTAAATGTATATATATATATATATATATATATATATATATATATATATATATATATATATATATATATATATATATATATATATATATATATATATATATATATATATATATATATATATATATATATATATATATATATATATATATATATATATATATATATATATATATATATATATATATATATATATATATATATATATATACATATATGTATGCATATATATATATATATATATATATATATATATATATATATATATATATATATATATATATGTATATATATATGTATATATATTAAATATATTTTAAGTTTCTTTTTAATAACCAACTCGAGGTTACAAATTCAAATTACGCAAATTAAAGAGTAAACTCAATGTTGTTAAATATTCTTTCTCCCTCGTGTTTAATATCATTTGAAATATCTTGCCGTCTAACGTCATTAACACCAATCTTTGAAGGTCTTTTTAGGAACTATATTTTTACAATAATTTTTACTTTTTTTTATTTTGCATTGAACTTTTTAGATTTAATTCATTTCGGTTGCATAAACCTAGGACATTATCTAAAAAAGGGTGCCTAGCTGTTTGATTTTTGAACTGCAAAATTACAATAACCAAGGTTATTTTATTGCTCAATATGTGAATGAATAAGTTTAACTTGTTTTGCTGTACAATTGTTGATACATCTTAGATGTAAAACAAAGAATGAAGATAATTTTTGCTGCGCTTGGAAACAAGAAAGTATCAGAGTGAAGAGTGACTTAAGTGCATTCTTTCCTCCTAATGCAAACTGTATATACATTAATATATACATTAATGCAATTTACATTAATGTATGTATTGCAATTAATTAAATACAAGCTGCTATAAGCTTTTTAAATCCAGACAGGGTAGAACTTAAAACAATTGGGTTCGCAGCGGAAATTCAAATTTCATCGGAAAAGGAGGTTTTAAACCGAAAAAATTGACCGAAGATCAAATCGAAGAAACATTAACATGGATTGAAAATGATTGTCAATTAACATTGGTGGCCATCAAAACAAAGATATTAAGACAATTTAACATAAACGTTAGCACAACAACAATAGCAAATTACCTCGAAGGCAGATTGTTCTCATTAAAAAAAGTGCACAAGGAGCCTTCTACGATGAACAGTTATGAAAACAAACAAAAAAGAGCTGAATATGCTAGAAACATCAACGAACATATCACAAATGGTCGTCAGATAGTTTGGTTGGATGAAACAAATTGTAACCTTTTTTGTAGAAAAACGCAAGGACGCGCGAGACAAGGAAAAAGAGCAATTATGAAAGTACCTGCTTCAAAAGGTTTAAACATACACTTGATCGCAGCTATTTCAACTACAAATGTCGTCATGAAAGAAACTCGCAGGAGATCATTTAAAGCAGATTCCTGTAACGAGTGGATGTTGGCTATGTTTCACCAGTGGGTTACATCCGGGAATCGTTTGGAGGATTTGGTCGTCGTAACAGATAATGCTCCTTGTCACGCTCGTTTGCAAAGGGTGTTTGATAATTCACCAGCTCAGTTGTTACGTTTGGGACCTTACAGTCCAATGTTGAACCCGGTGGAAACGATCTGGTCCAAAATTAAAAGTAACGTTAAAAATGCAATTCGCATTCCACCTGTATTAGGTGACGGGATTGCGGAACAGCACATGCAGTACTTAAAACGAATTGTAATTGAGGCCATATATATATATATATATGGCCTCAATTACAATTCAATTTACATTAATGTATGTATTGCAATTAATTAAATACAAGCTGCTATAAGCTTTTTAAATCCAGACAGGGTAGAACTTAAAAGTATGATCTACCACTTAAAAGTGTGAATAAAGTATCACTTAAACAAATACTTACAGCACTTAAGATTAATTTTTATTAAAACTTCTTTTAAGATAACTGGTATGTATGTATGTGTGTATATATATATATATACATATATATATATATACCCATATAGTGTAGTCGAAAGAGCGTTTTAATGTAAAAAAAGTCTCTTACGACTACAATTTTAATTACCTCGTCTCTTAAGCTGTTTTTGATTGTCATCGAAATGTCAAAGCAATTAATTTATGCGGAAGTACATTAAATTTAATTGTTTTTTAAAATTTTTTTAAAAAACCGCAATTATAACGACTAGAAAGTTTTTTTTAATTAGTGGTGTTTTTGTTATTGATTTAATAAAAAACATTTTAAAAAAATGCGTAAATGTTGCTACATCAACTATCTTATAGCCTGACTCGCAACGGAGTGCTGCTACATCGACTGATAAATAGCCTGACTCGCAACGGAGTGCTGCTACATCGACTGACAAATAGCCTGACTCGCAACGGAGTGCTGCTACATCGACTGAGGGTTTAGTTTGGCCAGGCAGTCTATCAATTAAAAAAAAAAAATTAATTTTTAAAATATTTTCTGGTCTGGTTTATTAACGCGCTCTTTAAAACTACAGTTTATGGGAAACTTTTTTTGATGCCATGCAAGAGACATGCAAGAGTATATATATATATATATATATATATATATATATATATATATATATATATATATATATATATATATATATATATATATATATATATATATCCTTATAGTGTAGTCGAAAGAGTCTTTTAATGTAAAAAAAGTCTCTTTCGACTACAATTTTAATTACCTCATCTCTTAAGCTGCTTTTGATTGTCGTCGAAATGTCAAAGCAATTAAATTAATGCGGAAGTACATTGAATTTTATTGTTTTTCAAAAATTTTTAAAAAACCGCAATAATAACAACTAGAAAGTTTTTTTTAATTAGTGGTGTTTTTGTTTTTGTTTTATTAAAAAACATTTTTAAAACATGCATAAATGTTGCTACATCGACTATCATAGCCTGCTGCTACAAGGGAGTGTTTCTACATCAACTATTTTATAGCCTGACTCGCAAGGGAGTGCTGCTACATCTACTGAGAAATTGCCTGAATCGCAAGGGAGTGCTGCTACAACGACTGAGAAATAGCCTGACTCACAAGGGAGTGCTGCTACATCGACTGAGGGTTTGGTTTGGGCAGGCAGTCTATCATTTAAAAAAAAAAAATTTAAGTTTTTAAACTTTTTCTGGTCTGGTTTATTAACGCGCTCTTTAAAACTACAGTTTATGGGAAACTCTTTCTGACTACCATGCAAGAGTATATATATATATAAATATATATATATATATATATATATATATATATTTATATATATATATATATTTATATTTATATTTATATATATATATATATATATATATATATATATATATATATATATATATATATATATATATATATATATATATATATATATATATATATATATATATATATATATATATATATACACACATACATACAAACAAATTTTAGTCACCCTGGGATCTTTAAATGAAGAATTACCATTAAATTATATACTATTTATATTACAATTTACCAATTACCAATTAACCAGATATTTAGCCTCTGAACATGTGCCCTTTTTTTGTATAATTTGGATTTATTGTTTGTTTTTTTAGCATCATAATAATCATTTCTTAAAAAAGTACTGATTTGTATCTAGAACCAAAGTGTTGAAAATGAATAGTGTGTTGTAGTGTTTTGGAATATGACATCCATAAAAACTAAATACATACAGAAAAGAAAAAGGGATGGGATCGCATTACTATACCCTTTATTAATTAAAAATGAGTGATATTTAGACCCATATTGCAGTAACAATAGTTGAATCAATTATTCTTTTAAACAGTTTTCAGTTTTACATTTGATCTTGCTAAAACTCAAAACTTTCTTATTTAAAAAAAAAATGCTCAAGAAATTGAGTCACATATGTTAGATATCTTTTAGTATTTCAATTCTTTTATGTGCTTTCGTTTAGCACTACTTCACTCTATTGCCTTTCTCTTTGATCTATATCACTCTACTTCATTTCAAGACTGCACTCTTTCTGAAGTAATTTCTGATCAAATTGACCAAGCCCTCTCTCTTTATCCTTCAGCCAAAATTGTTGTTGATGACTTAAATGCTTATCACACTGATTGGTTTGGCTCTGGTGTCAGTGAATTTGCAGGCGTTAAGGCCCACAACCTTTGCCTTTGCACTTGTTGCATTCTACCTGATATAGTCAACAAACAGGTTGATCCATTGCTTGACATTCGTATCACTCCAGCTTCTGTATCTAAAGTGATTTCCTGCTTAGAATCTACTACACCTTGTGGTCCACACAACATATCTGTTATAGTCTTGCAGAAGTGTTTTCCGGAGCTGTTATTTATACTTTCAAAACTATTTAACAAATGCTTATCAAAGTCTTGTTTTCCAGCCTGCTGGAAAGCGGCATCTGTTATCCCTATTTTCAAAAACTCTGGAAAACGATCTGACTCCTCTAACTCCCGCCCCATTAGTCTTCTTCCTATCATAAGCAAGGTTTTTGAATCTTTTATTAACAAACGCTTAATCTCTCATCTTTAATCTAAAAACATACTTACTGATCATCAATATGGATTTCGATCTTCTCATTCTACAGCTGATTTGCTAACAGTAACAACCAATAGGTTTTATTGTGCATTAGATAGATGTGGAAATCCTAAGGCTATCGCTCTCAACATTTTTAAAGCCTTTGATAATGTTTGCCATACTAAGATTCTATCTCTTTATTGTGCTTGCCACTTTCTGACTTCAGATTCTAATATTTCACTTCCTTCAACTTGTGTTCCAGATTCATACAATTTGCAATATTTTAAATTGTCATTCAATCGTTATCTTGCTTTGTAAATTTCATCTTTTCTCTTCCAGTAACTTCCAACTTTAATAGTGATTGGTTGCAGTCTTTTTGGAAGTTCCAACTTTAATAGTGGTTGGTTGCAGTCTTTTTGGAAGTTCCAACTTTAATAGTGGTTGGTTGCAGTCTTTTTGGAAGTTCCAACTTTAATAGTGGTTGGTTGCAGTCTTTTTGGAAGTTCCAACTTTAATAGTGGTTGGTTGCAGTCTTTTTGGAAGTTCCAACTTTAATAGTGGTTGGTTGCAGTCTTTTTGGAAGTTCCAACTTTAATAGTGGTTGGTTGCAGTCTTTTTGGAAGTTCCAACTTTAATAGTGGTTGGTTGCAGTCTTTTTGGAAGTTCCAACTTTAATAGTGGTTGGTTGCAGTCTTTTTGGAAGTTCCAACTTTAATAGTGGTTGGTTGCAGTCTTTTTGGAAGTTCCAACTTTAATAGTGGTTGGTTGCAGTCTTTTTGGAAGTTCCAACTTTAATAGTGGTTGGTTGCAGTCTTTTTGGAAGTTCCAACTTTAATAGTGGTTGGTTGCAGTCTTTTTGGAAGTTCCAACTTTAATAGTGGTTGGTTGCAGTCTTTTTGGAAGTTCCAACTTTAATAGTGGTTGGTTGCAGTCTTTTTGGAAGTTCCAACTTTAATAGTGGTTGGTTGCAGTCTTTTTGGAAGTTCCAACTTTAATAGTGGTTGGTTGCAGTCTTTTTGGAAGTTCCAACTTTAATAGTGGTTGGTTGCAGTCTTTTTAGAAGTTCCAACTTTAATAGTGGTTGGTTGCAGTCTTTTTAGAAGTTCCAACTTTAATCTTTTATCTTTTTTTAACTTTTATCTTTTATTTTTTTACACTAAATTCAACTCAACAGGTTTTAAAAGTCAAAGTTCAAAGGTTATGATTATATAAAGTTTACATCCAAACCAAATAAGGTGGTTGTTTTAACATTTTCCAAAACATTGTAATGTGATATAAAAACAAGAACATACTTAAGTTTGGCACTTAAGTATGTTTTATTTATCAAAAGTATATTTATTAATCAAAATCATTGGTTTTTCAAAACTATATGCGGTAGTGGTGTAGTGGTAGAGCGCTCGCTTCATAAACGAGTGGTTCCGAGTTCGATCCCCACCACGTCCCTGGTAGTACCGCGCTCAACTCGTTTCTCCGCGCAGCGGCCTTGTTCGTCAAGGTTCGTGTTTCGGAGTTATAGAGTTGAGAGAGGGTTATAGCCACAAAATAAGTAGCCTCCTCGTCTGTAGTGGCCGTCTCGGCCTTGAGGAGGTGAATTAAAATTAAAAAAAAAAAAAATATATTAATACTACATCTCAAAATTTACGCAAGTAGACACCACTATATTATGGGTTACTATAAAGTCTTTAGATGAGCTTAATATGGTTTTTAACAACACATTAAAAGACCTAATTTGTAAGTAACTATTAATAATAGTATTAGTTAAAGATGCTATTGATTAAGTAATTCTAATCGGTTTGGTGATAGAAGGATTTGCTGTATTTTCAAATTATGAAACCTTTTTACATTGCTTTTGATGTGGTATAATAGCACACGATAATTGTATTTAAAATCAATTAAATCTTGTATTTTGTTTAATCTATATTTTCATTAATAATATTTTTTTAAACCATTTTATTTATATGTTAATAAAATAAAATTATTCTAAAATTTCTGTTATTAATGCAATATTTCTTCTATTTTAGTATAGAAACAGAAGAAATAGATATATATTCTATAGTAGAAGATTAACCAGCTTTCCTTACCATCTTTTTTCAAATAAATTATATATGATAAAACACAATATTAGATTATTTTGATTAACACTTCTTTAATCATATAAATTATGAGATAGTTTAAATGACTTATAATTTTTTGAAAACTGTTTTAGCAGGCAATGTCCTTGCAGATACCAAAAATGTAAAATTGCTTCATATTCATAAATGTAAAATTGCTTCATAACAAAATTGATTGAAAAAGCAAATACAAAGAAAAAAAACTGGAGAAAAAGCGCACTATAACAAACAGTGACTTAGTCAAAGTTTACATGAATTACCCATAGCTTAGAAACTATGCCTCCTTCCGCCCCCTTTCTGCCAAAGTTACTTTATGGTCACTAACCAATTTCTGCTCAAGAAAAAATAAAAAAAAAATAAAAAACCAATGATTATTTAGCAGCTTCTATTAACACTCATGCGGCTTACCATTAAAAATAAGTTACATTTACAAGTAAAAGCAAAAATGCAAGTTAATTTTACATGTAAAAATAAATTACTTTTTCAAGTAAGTTACTCATTTAAAAAACTTAACTTAAGTAGTTAAGTTTTACATCTTATATAATTTATGTAAAAAAAAAAAGATTTACTTTTAAATGTAAGTAAATTATTTATTTTAAAATGAGTTATGCAAAGTAATTTACGCTTAAAAGTAATTTGCGTTTTTATATCAAAATAAGTAAAAGTGACATCCCTAGTTGGAAGTGAAGATGTTGAAAAACAAAAAAAGAAAAAGACAATTTGGAAGTTACAATTTGGAAAAATTAGTAAGTTTAATGCAACACTTTAAGTAAGTATCTCGGTATTGACATAAGTAAAATTGAAAAACATAATCAACTCAATTTGTATAATGTATAATGCTATGTATAATGCTATTAAATTTATAAAAAAACTAGTCATTAACTAACTTTAACTCAGTTAATGTGCAAAAAGTCTACTGAAATCCTCAAAAACTAATCAAATATTGTAAAACTTATCAGTTATATAAGGGTATTACTAATTTAACTATTTAATAATTGTGCAATTAATTATTTATAAATTCAAAGTAATAGTAATATAATATGTTAAAAATTTAAGATAATAAAAGTTTAAAAACAAAAAAAAATTAAAATAATAATCATTTCTTGCCATCATTTGAATTGCTCTGGAAGATTCTGCTTTGTAAGCGATTATTGTGAGAGCAAGTCGAAGACATAGATCAATTTTGCATGAAGAATTATTGGCTTCATCATCAATACAGTACTCCTATAATAAAAAATTCCTTTAAACAAATTTATACAAATATTTGCAATATAAATTTTTTTTTTTTCATAAAAAAATCCTTGAAAAGTTCTTCCTCTCAAAATGTTTCATTATATTTTTATGTAATATCATATGTGTTCAGATTAAGCATTATTTAAAAGTTTAATAAAACAAACACTGATAACAGAAAAAGTTATAGTGTTGGCATGATATTAGCTTTTTGTGAAATCAATAACGTAATATTAACTAATATACTAATTAAAAAATTATACTAATCATACTATATTGTACTACTAATCTATATTGTAAAAAGTACAAACACGAGAGCACTCTGCAACATATTGGATCATCTTTAAAATAATTTCTTTGTTAAACTTTAGATACTATATTTAATTTCAGAATGACAAATTAAGATAATTCAAAAAGAAAAAGTATTTCTTCTATCTCAAATAATTGACTTTTCTTACTAGTAACCTGACCTTAATGATCAAATAACTGAATAATCAATCGACCAATGGATCAATCGCCTTTTTATTTTATAGAAATCTAAATCTTCTAGCAAGGATAAATAAAAAGTTTAATTCTAATTTTAAACCAGAGAACATAAAGCCACGGAATGTGATACGAGGTTGGGTGTTTAATTCGTAGTTATCAATAAAAGCAAGTTCAATAAAACTAATTTGGCTCTCTATACTTCACTTTAAATAACTTGTTTAATACTCTTTTCTACAGCTAAACTTTATTTATGTCATAATAATTACATATTACTAACGGTGCCACCCAGTCAGGTATACTTTTAATTTAACTTAAAAACTTGATTATTTGTTGATAAAAACAATAGTTTTAACATAAATAAAACTAATTTAAATCAATACATTTAACATTATAGATAGTGCCCACTCACATAAATATCAAAAAATAAAAATAAAAAGTTTTAAACTTTCAATTGCAATTTTTATAGTTTTTGTTTCAAAGAAATAAATAATTAATAATAGAAAGTTTAAGTGTATAAGCATTATGTTGAAGTCATGGTATCAATACAGAAGAATTTGTCTGAGTTAAGGTGGGTAGAGAACATAACAAACATTGTTATGAGGTTATGTTTATATATATATATATATATATATATATATATATATATATATATATATATATATATATATATATATATATATATATATATATATATATATATATACATATATGTTTATATATATATATATATGTGTATATATATATATATATATATATATATATATATATATATATATATATATATATATATATATATATATATATATATATATATATATATATATATATATATATATATATATATATATATATATATATATATATATATATATATATATATATATATATATATATATATATATATATATATATATATATATATAGTGCCTTGGCTAGTTGGTCAGAAACCCCCTAAAAAAACCAGCCATTAGGGCCCCAAAATGGTAAAAACATTTTCACTTGCTATAACCTAAAAAAGTAATTTCCAAATATGCTCCTAAAACTGCTGCCTCCTGCCCATAAATAGTGTGTGTGTGGAAGAGCCTAGCTATGGCTCTGTGAACATAGCTCTACTAATGTGAGACCTTTTAAAGTTCCACAACCAATAAACCTTGATACATGTGAAATAAAAGAACTTATTGATTGGAAAAAGAAGTACTTACTAAACCAGTTTTCACAGCAAACTTGTCATTAGCCCAAATGAATGCATTGAGAGGGAACTTACTTTACTTTATTACACTTTTTTTTTTTTGTTAATTTACTCCCTTGAGGAGTCAAGGCTGAGAAGGCCACTACAGACGAGTTATAACCCTCTCTCAACTTTACAACTCCAAAACATAAACCTTGATGAACAAGGCTGCTGCGCGGAGAAACGAGTTGAGTGCGGTACTAACCCAAAACGATAATGGTACATACCCAAAGTTGTAAAAGAGCAGTCAAAATAGTTACCAAGGCAGCTGAGTCAGTCTGTGGTTGGGATAAAAGAGATGGTTTTATATAAACTTAATTGTAAAATCGATAAATAATGCCTGTGATGATAATAAAGAGACTTTGTTGTGGCCAATAATAAAATGAATGTCGAATTATTATTATGAAATTAGAAATTAAGTAAGAAGCAATTGCTTGCTTTTAAGTTTTTTTATTCACACACTTCTCATATGTGAGCAATTGCTCAGAGTAAAAGCTTTTGTGCAAAAAAGAGCAAAATTTTTATTTACGTAAAGTAAAATTTAATCTAAAACAAACTAAAAATGCTGAGTAAAAGCAATTGTACTTTATTATTCACCTGGTCTTTTCCAGAACTACAAATTTTAATTTTAACTTTGCTGCTAAAAATCACCATTAACACCTTTGGGAGAGAGATTTGTAACAAAATTGTTAATTTATTTTAAATTTAATATTTAACAAATGCATTAAGTTGAAACCCTAAAAATGTTTTATTTAAAAAAAAGTTTATAAAATTTAAAATCTCAAGCTCTTAAAATAATAAAGTTGTTTCAATATGTAATTTGATCTAAAATCCTATGTCATCCTATTATAGTAACTTAGCTATATTTGGCAGGTATCTTATCACCTTTTGATTATTTTTAACAAGTAAAAATATATATATAACAAATAAATACAAACAGATAATTTAAGAGGTTTTCTGCTTTCTGGAACCAGAGCCATTACATCCAAAACATCAAGCACATCTCTATTTAAAGACTCGATTAGCGAAAACAAACAACTCGCAGGAACCTTTATATAAAAAATTATATAAATTATTTTTTATAATATAACATGTACAAAATAACTCAAAGATAAATAACTTATCTCAAAGATAAAGAAGAATCCTGGAAATACTTGTTTTAATGAATCATTGGTGGCATCAACCATATCTTCTGCAATCACAATTGGAGCAGCACTTGCAAGTAGCTAAATAAAGATTTACTTACTTATTAAAACTTCTATTAATGAGTTACCTTATAAGACATTAAATAAAGTTAAATAAAAATGTTGAAATGATAAAGTTGTTTCAGTTTTAAAATTTTACTGTGTCAGTTTTCCTTCCTCTTTTTGTAATATTTTTTAAAATAAAAATACCTGCACTATAAAAGTTACCTGCAGAATAAAAGGGCACTGATGAATAATAAACATTTGGGATACTGCAAACTAAAAAATATAAAAAATACTTTTAAAAAACTCAAACAATGAACACAATATAACTATGTTTATTTTTTGAGTTTATTATTACTATAATAATTAGTAAGTTTCTTGATTTGAAACTACTTTTTTTAATTTGAGATTATAATTAAGTTTCTCTTTTTAAGATTATAATAAATTTCCTTCATTTGAAAGGATTTCTTGATTACACAAAGTGGTTGAAAAGTTTTGAAAGCAACACCTCACCAGTAGTGAAATCAAAATTTATACAATATTTTAAATTTTATTTTCTGTTTTCTTTAATTTTTTTGGTAATTTACCACAAGCATTACAAGCGTTAAAAATGAACCACATAGTAGAATCTAAAAACTGTAATAACACCAGAAATCATTGGCCAAGTCTATAATGATTTTTGAAATTATCAAACAAAATGATGTTCGTAAAGACCAAATCTTGATGTCTGAAATTTTTAATAACACAGAAATCTCAGGAGAATAAGTACTCAATATTTTACTCAAAGTATCACATTTTTTACATAAAAGATAATTTATGTTCACACAAGTTTTTTGGTAATGGTTAAATTAAATAAATTAAACTAGAAATTGTATGGTCATCCACTATATTCATTTAACTCTTACCAAATATAACCTACAGAAACTTAAAAAAATACCATTGTAAAAGATTTTATAAGGTGATAAAATTATTAGAGAACCATTAAAAGTTTTATTTTGTTAACCATAATTATGTGTTTAAGTTGGAAGAGATTAAAAAATATAGTGTATAAATCAGGGCTGTAGAGTTGGAGTCGGCGCCATGGAGTCGCAACATTTTTATCAGAGTCGGAGTTGCTAAACAAAATCGTGACTTTGACTCCAAACTTCTCGGTATTTCACGTACATGTACAAAATATTCAATTAACTATATATTCAAATTAAACCTTCATAGAACTTTCATAAATTTGGCAAAACAAAATTTTTTTAATTATCACTTAATATCTTTTAAAGAAATCAAAGAATTTTTCGAAAGTTTTGCTTTGGAACCAGAGTCGGAGTTGGAGTTGTACTCTGAAAATTTTAACAATTGGAGTCGGAGTCGGTACTTTTTTTTTACGACTTCACACCCCTGCTATAAATAAAGATTAAGAAATAAAAAAATAACTTCATTTCAAAACTTTACAACCAACCAAAATCAAAATTTAAAAAGACACAAAAAAATTGTTAAATAATCAAGTTGAAATAATTTTAACTTGAAAGATTTTAAGTTAAAATTACTTCATCAATCTTTGTGTTTCTCAGTTGAACTTTGATCCTGTTGGAAATAACTTTTATGTAACTTAATCTGTAACTGTGATAAACATCTAAACATGATAATATAAAAATATATTAAAAAATAAAAATCACACCTCAATGGCATCTTTGACAAGAGCATTGTGTGATTGGTAAGAATAAACTTTTAAAATAGTAGGAAGGATTTCTAAATAACTAAAAATGAAAAATTTATAATATAATATTATTTTAAAAAATCCTAAATATAACTAGATATACTATTATTATAACAATTAATTTATTAAAGATTAATAATTTTTTTTAATGGTTTGTTATTTTTTAAGATGTCTATAAAACTTTAATTGAAAAACAAATAAATTTTTGATATAGTTTTGTTATTTTATAACATTATCTAATACATAATAAATACCAAGTATTTATATATATGTATTATTTGGGTTATATATATATATATATATATATATATATATATATATATATATATATATATATATATATATATATATATATATATATATATATATATATATATATATATATATTATATATATATATATATATATATATATATATATATATATATATATATATATATATATACATATATATAAATATATATATGATGAACAAAATCACCCAGCACGATACTTCACGCTCGTAATACTGAAACACGTTATCAATGAGCGTGATTATGCACGCTCGGCATCAAGTCTTCGAGAGCATTATTCAGTGTTGGGAATTGGTTGCCATGGGGCCGTTCATAAACTACGTACACAAGTATGGGGAAGGGGGTCACTCAAAAGTGTACTAGTGCGTATAAGGGAAAGGGTAGATGATTTTTTGTTTGAATTTTTTTCATGTGACATGCGGGAAATTAGACAAAAATGCTTTGGTTTTTTAGTTAATGCATTTGTCTATCTACCGAAAAAAAAATGTTACTGCAGCTTTAATATTAAATAAAAACAAATCTCGCCATTTACTAAAAGTCAACAAAAGAACATGACATAATATAATTATTTCCTATTGGAGTTGAATTAACATGCTTGATTGCAGATATTCAGAAATGTTTTTAAACGTTTGCAGACAACAGAAATGTTTTTAATTTAATTTAAAATAATAGTTAAAAAAAGATATAAAAAGATTAGGAATATTTCTTTTATTTACAAAAAATGTGTGAAAAATTGAAAAAAAATAATACAAAATCTTGCGTTTTTACAAAATCTTGCAGATTAAAACTTTTGATTTTTTTAAAATTCAATCAAGTTTTAATTTTTTAATTTAAACTTTCTATTCTCATTGGGATGAAACATTTTGAAAATAGTAAACATTCCATTCTATTTGGTAGCCGTAATGATTTCATAACTTTCCATTCATTGTTTTTACAAAAGAGAAAACTGCATTCTAATTTAAACTGAATGTACAATTTAATTATAAGCAATTGAATAATTTGTTATAAAATTGATTATATACTTAATAAATATATAATAGAATTATACTAACAAAATATATATTAGTGTAAGTATGTACATACTTATACAAATATAATATATAAATAACTTATATACTGACGTATATTTTGAGAAATGCATTTGTGAAAATAGTGACATTACATTTTTTTCTTTTGTTGAAAATAAAGACGATACATTTTTTCTTTCGTTGTTTGTGAGTACGCTTTCAAAAGTTTTAACTCAAAGTTATATAACAAATATATTTGATATACATATTGTTTATTGAAACTTTATTCTTTTATTTTTAGTTTCATAAAGCTTAACTTTTTTAATAAATAGACTTTAATATAAGCTTAACCAATTCAAAGATACCAGTGATGAAGTTTTAATTTGATAAATTTTACGTTAGATATTTATTTATAAGATAATTATAATTAAATTTGCTGCATAAATCAAAATTAAAGAACATCACACTTAAATTATGCATGACACACTTTATTACAAATATAACTTCTTTATTTAATAATATGCAAACTCTACTGTTTAAACATACTTTGGCTTCAGCAAAAAAATTTTACTAAAATATTTTCTTTAAAATTAACTTATAATTTTGTCCCTTGCAAGTTCTTCAGACAAGCACAGTTTTTTACTCTTGTAACAAAACTAGCAAGGGCTATTTGTTGCTCCTGGAAAGTCATTTACAAACGTGTTTCACATGCGTTGAGTGATTGCTCTCGCTTCATCACAAGGCCTGCATATACCTATATACATATACATATATAATATATATGCATATATATATACATATATATATATATAAATAAATATGTATAAATATGTTATACATATTAGAATTGCTTTTTTCCATTAAATTAACGAAACAATTTGTAACCACAAAAAAACCACAAAATTAACAGAATAAAATTAACTATTTACAGATTATTCAAAATTACGTTAATCAAACAGATTAAAAATTCAAATCCGTTGAACAAAAACTGAACTTTTTATTACAAAGGGTTTCCAAAAGAAACTATGATGTTTAGATGATATTTTTCTGTAGATTATATCTTTCATCATTATGTGTCCTTTTTTCGCATTTTTGAAATTTTTATGGATTGATTCCGACATGTTCAGAAGTCAAAATAAACTTTCGAAAAATGCAATAGAGTTTTCATTAGTTTCAAAAAGTTAAAAAAACACTATGATACCCAGCACTCAACAATAATTACTGGTAAGATCAAAGCTGCAAGTTCAACTACCACTAGTTAGTTTTTCTTTATTTGCTTAATTTATATATATATATATATATATATATATATATATATATATATATATATATATATATATATATATATATATATATATATATATATATATATATATATATATATATATATATATATATATATATATATATATATATATATATATATATATATATATATAAATTAGTAGAAAATCACTTAGTAAAATTTTTTCTCATTTAACACTGTGTTTCAGCAATCTCTGATGAGTCTTTATTGATGAAACACAGTGTTAAATGAGAAAATATTTTACTAAGTGATTTTCTACTAATTTATATATATATATATATATATATATATATATATATATATATATATATATATATATATATATATATATATATATATATATATATATATATATATATATATATATATATATATATATATATATATTATGTAAGTGTATTCTAAAAATAGAGTGCTCAATGTTCTTGAAAAACAGAGTAGTAATAAATTAGTAAAAACACTTATCTAATTTTTTTCTTTAACAATTTGTTTCACCATCAGTAGACTGATAAAGAAGCTTCCTGATGAACCTACTGACGGTGAAACAAGTTGTTGAATAAAAAATAAATGATTCTAATTTATTTATCTAACTAATTTATATATATATATATATATATATATATATATATATATATATATATATATATATATATATATATATATATATATATATATATATATATATATATATATATATATATATATATATATATATATATATATATATATATATATATATATATATATATATATATATATATATATATATATATATATATATATATATATATATATATATATATGGTGAGTTTAGTTTTGTTTTCTAGCTGGTGGATGCCATCATTTTGTAAATTTTTTTTTTCTCACCTTATTGGTAGCATTAATCCACTTTTTCTGTCTTTTTATTTTTTGTTACTGCACCTGTCTTATGAAGAACTCCTTAAACTATTGAAAAATCTTCGATCTTGTGTTCTTCAGGACAATTTGGAGGATTCGCATCTTTAGAAACAATTTTCACATAATTATCTTTGCACCACTGTAGAACTTTTTTAGAATAGTGAGAAGCAGCAAGATCTGGCTAAAAGACATTGGTATTTCTGTTTTTTCATATATGACAACATTCTTTTTTAGAGGCATTTTTGATATAGAGATAAGCAGCCAAGGTCTTCTTAGTGACAAACAAAAGGACTGCATGCCACAGCTACAAATAGCTTGCCACACAAGGAACTTGGATGAAAATTTTTCTTATCGAATATATACTTAAATTGATCATTGATAGGTTTATCTTTCTCATATTAAAATTGTTGACCAGGCAGTTTTGAAAAATCCGCCTTGCAATATGTTTCGTTGTCTTTAATTATGCACAAACTTATATCTGTCATTATTTTAACCAACTTTTTTAGCGTGGTGTATTTTTTTTATGAAATGCTTTAAGTTCAGCAATTTATAAGTACTTTTTTATATGTCTTGAATTTTCTTGCTAGATCTTGCACTGGTTCAAATTTGACATGAGAATTGCCTTTACCTCTTTGGATTTAATTTATTTAAATTTCATTTTCAGGGTTGTGGTTTTTTCATCAAAACTGTGGGTGGTCAAAATTTGAAACAAATTTGAGGTGTTATCCTGGGGCACTTTTGAAAAACTAGATGATTTTGTAGGGAATAACCCAGAGGAATTTCAACTAAATGCAATTAACATCTGCCCAAGATGAGTAATTTTATTAAAATGTTATCTTTATCAGGGGAATTTTAGGTTGGAAATGGATTTTTAATAGGTTTTCAGGTGCTTTTTACTGCTGCATCAGGGGATTTTTAAGTTGAAAAAGCATTTTTAATTTGGATACTGGATTTCTAACCCAGTACTATCTGGCCCACGCCCTGTTGCCTACAAAGCAGCAAGGCAGGGGGTAGGTAGTAGTGAGTTACATGATACCGGTATCAGGGTATTTATTTATGTAAAAATAAAAAAGCCTTTTATTCAAGGATAAAATCATTCTAATTTGAATTGTTCATTTTAGTTATCATTTTATTAAACAATAATAAAAATACTTATTACTTGAAATTATTTAAAGTAATATATACTACATATTATTAAATTTTATACATACTTCAAACTGTAATAAATGTCTAGTTTTTAATATTTATATATAAATAATAAAAACTAATAAATAAATTCCATCTTTCAATTACATATTTTAAAAATATGCAAATCAAAAAATTCTCTTTATTTAAAGATTAACTTTATAATAAAGAATTTAGTACATAATAAATAAAACAAACCCATTAACTGCAAACATCTTTGAATAATTCAACGCAATGTTAATATAAGCAGCCAATACTGATCTTAAAATGAGGACATCTTCAGCATGTAAAAGAAATGCGCCATTGATTGGATCAATGAATAAATAAACAGGGTCTTCCCAATATGTCGTTGAAACCGATAAAACACCAAGAATGTTGCTTATCAACTTATTTTAAAAATGAAAAAGTGTTTAAAATAATAAATTCAAGTTACTATTGTAGTTTACTAACACTATTACAATTTTTATATCTCAATTACATTTTTTATATAAGCATTAAAAGTTTCTTTATACAAGCATTAAAAGTTTCTAAAACCAAAAATAAGTAAAAAAAGATTTATTTATTTTATATTTTTTAGTTTAGTTTAAATTTCATATTTAGAAAAAGTATTGCTTTTACAAATAAATATGACAACATTTTCAAACCTTAATCCAGTAATCTTTATACACAACATCAATATCAAATATTGCCTTAAAAAATAAATAACATGTGCCAGTACATTTCCAATTCGGTATGAATGAAACAAATGAGTTAAATGTAATGATAACAAACAGACACATTGACAGTAAAATAATAAATAAAATGCAATGCAATGATAAAAAAAAAGAAAATGCAATGGGTACCTTTCCTACTTCTGTGTGTAAATTGCATAGATCAAACTCAATATCAATAACTTTGCGTGGATATGTAGGTTGCTGACATAACTCGTTAAATAAAAAAACTGCTGATTTCTGTAAAATAAAATAAAAAAATAACTAATACAAAATAAGTTAATTTGTTTTGAAACTAATTCAAAAGTAAACAAAGATAATAAAAAGTACTAACAAAACAATAATCAAATTTTAAAAAACCTTTTTATCTTTATTTGGGAGAGCATCAAACATAGATTTAGCAAAACAATAATCAAATTTTTAAAAACCTTTTTATCTTTATTTGGGAGAGCATCAAACATAGATTTAGCAAAACAATAATCAAATTTTAAAAAACCTTTTTATCTTTATTTGGGAGAGTATCAAACATAGATTTAGCAAAACAATAATCAAATTTTAAAAAACCTTTTTATCTTTATTTGGGAGAGCATCAAACATAGATTTAGCAAAACAATAATCAAATTTTAAAAAACCTTTTTATCTTTATTTGGGAGAGCATCAAACATAGATTTAGCAAAAACTAGCTGCACTATCTGAAGTTGTTTGTTGATAAGAGCCTAAAAAAGAAAATATATTTATCTTAACTTTAAATAACTGTCAACCAGCATTTTACTTTTATAAACCAAAAAAAGCCAGAGGCAACCACTATTTTAGTTAAAAATAAATAAATAACGAAAAAAAGAAAAGAAAATAGAGCAGAATAAAATAATGATTAAAAAAAAGTTAAATAGACTGCATACCAATAAAACAAAACAAAAAAAACCAAATAAATCTAACATCAATTTATCATTAAATATCAATATCATATTTATCATTTCAATAAATAGTAATACTGTTTACTAATATTATATAGTAATATATAAATATATATATATATATATATATATATATATATATATATATATATATATATATAAATATATATATATATATATATATATATATATATATATATATATATATATATATATATATATATATATATATATATATATATATATATATATATATATATATATATATATATATATATATATATACATCGGCCACAAATGTGCTGATAGCACATTTGTGGCCGATGCCGAGGGATGGGAAAAGGCTGATACCGATGAATTAATTATCAAAATTTTGAAAATGTAAGACCATACAACCTTAAATTGTGTAAAGTTTTTCATGTAACCAGAACTGGTAAACAAATACTTGGACCCAAATAAGAGCCAAACAAAAATTTAAAAGATATTAGAAAAACTTAGTTAAAAAAATATACATTTTTTAGTTGTTTTTTTTACTATGAAAAAAAAAATTAAAAAAATTAAATACAATTTTAGAGGAACACCTTTTATATTAATTTTAAAAAGAAAAATGGTATTAAGATAAGCTGTTTACTTTGAATTCTGCAACTTTATTAATTTATTAGTAGTTTAGATATCTAAAAAATAATCATATAGAAATATAGAAGGCTATACTTGAATACATATAGATAACAATGCTTAAATAGGTTACTTTTAGGTATAAAAATAAACCAACACAAAATAAAATTATTCTAAAAACAACATTATGGTAATAAAAGTATAAGTACATTCAGTTGTTAAATTAAAGCTTATAAACATCTTAAAAATAAACAAGTTTGCCTGTAAACAAAGTCAATACAAAAAATTTCTCAAAAAAAAGTAATGCATAAAGTTTAGTTTATTTATTATTTAATTATTATTATAATACAGGATAAAAATAATAAAATGCCATCGGTGGGAAAATTGGTAAATTAATAAAAAAGGTCAATGCTGATACCAATTCTTATTGTGCAAAGTGGCCAACTAAGCAATTTAAGCAGATGCCTGTTAATCGGTACATCACTAATATTTATACTAGCTGAATAAACCTGTAAAAATATGGGTCTTTGTAAGTCTATTCCACACCGAACTTTTGCTTTACTTTTTCTATATATATATATCCTAGCTTTCTGGACTGGGTCTTTACCAATCCTACCATTTCTATACTTATCTATGCCACACTGATCGATTCTATACCTATTTCTTATTTTTTAGTAAAATAATTTATTCTGGAAAATTGCTTTAAGAGCAAAAAAATTAACATGAGCACTTTTTCCATGTACATAGAACTTATAAGAGATTTATAATTAGGTTTGTTTTTCTCCTAAACACATATAATTGATAGCTCAGTGGTTTAGTGATGTCATCAGTGTTGTTTTGGGGGGTTTAAGACCTCTCCATAGCCAAATAAATTTTGAAATTTTTTCAATCTTGCTTATATATTTATAGCAAAAAATAATAATATAGGAAAAAAGATTTCTAATTCTCAAAATAAAATGTGAAAGTTTTCTGATTTTATAGTTATTTTTATAAAAGGTTGTTCCATATACCATCTGCAAACTCAACATATGCTAAATACGTTTACACTGAAAATGTTTACAAATAAAAACGTACAGATGTTATACGTAACGCTACACAAATGGCAGAACTAAGATCTTAGACCATTAAAAACTATAGTCTTGGGTTAGCTATAAAACATTAATCTAAAAACTAAGGCAAAAAAAATTTGTGCAGTGACGCCAGTTTGTGGTAAAAAATAACTTTTATACATCAAGTTTGCTTTTGCATTTATCTTTTTTACATTTAGATTTTTTAATTAATTTTATTTTTGTTGCATACAGTTGCAAAAAAAAAAAAAAAAACTTGTATTTCATATTCAAACTGTGGACATTGTAGTATAAAGAATTGTGGACATTGTAGTATAAAGAATCTTGAATATCAATACAATTAAAGATTCACTTTAGCTTACCAAGTATACACGTGTTGTTTCCCACTTAATATTTGCCAAAAAATTGACACCTTGATCTTTCTCATACATAGACTTTTCCAAAGTTATTATATCACCATTATTCAATTCAGGTATAAAGTTATCATACTTTGGATTATTTTTCACAATAGACATAACATGACGCTTTTTACTGTTAAACTTGATAAGAATTTTGACCATTTAAATGCCTTAAAGAGCTGGTATAGATCTGAACTTCTACGTTGTCAATGTCATCTTAAAGAGTAGTTTTCTATGTTGTCAATATCATCTTAAAGAGTATTCTTTTTTAGAGTAGTTTTAATTAGTGTTGATACATCATTCCTACAAACAACACATAAGATAAAATCTGGAGAAGAATTTCTTTAGTTTGCCATTTGAAACAGTTTGTTTCAGGTGCAGCAGAATATTCCATACAAAAAAAATATATATTACTATTAACCTAATCGTTGAGTTAAAAATAAAACAACTTCTAATTATATATGTTGCAAATTTAATTAATAATTTTAGTATTATCAGCAAATAATTTAAATGAAAGCTTTTTAGGATGTCACAAAGTAGATGACAAAAGAAGCGGGCCTAAAGTAAAACCTTGTGGAATACTACTAAAAATATCTTTCCAATTTGACTCAATTTGGCTATTTAATATATCTCTTTGTTTCTAATTTTCTAATAATGATGTACTCAATTAGACAAGAAAATTATTGATACTATAATTTCTAAATTTAAGTCTTTTGTGAGGGACTGTATCAAATTTTTTGACAAAGTCGAGGTAAATAACATCAGTTATATTATTGTTCTCAATAAATTTTGATAGACAGTTAATAAAAATTTGTCATAAATGATTTTCTAGGTATGAATTCATGTTGTTGCACATCAGATTATTTTTTGTTAAGCAATAATCTCTTTGCATATGATTAGTTTAAAAGTCTACGGGAAATATATATCAAGGAAATAGGTCTATATTTTTCTGGTATTAGTTTATTACCTTTTCTGAAGATATTTACTTTTTTCCGTAGACTTTGCATTTTTTTGGAAGATATCGATTCTTCAAAGATTAGTAAAATTGGAAAAGTTAGCAATGACAAGCATTCATCTTTAAGTTTTCTTAGGTAAACCTTGTTACAATATAATTATTCAAATTTATATTGCTTAAAAGTTCTAATATTTGATTATATTTTATTAAATATAATCAATTATTTCCTTTTTTTTTCTTTTAATTTTTTCGCAATTTAGTATATTTTTCATCAATTTCGTATATTTATGTTCTTGATCAACATGGGGTTGATCAACATGTGGCTTGATGTTAAATTTGCTCATTGAATATGCTTAAGAATACCTGTAAATATGACTTGGATTGCATACTCTAATTATAAATATCATTTGGAAGTCAGGAAGAGTGTGTTGTATATGGTTGCATATATATATTAATTAAAGTGATTGTCCAATAATCTTAAACTTCAGATTTTGAGTTTTCCAAGCTTACAGTTTGCTATTGGCATTTCTGCCAAAATCTGTCTTAACACAGTCATTGGACACAGGTATTCGAAGATATATAAAATATATTACTCTATAAAATAAAATACTTATTGAATATAGCAAATATTTTTTTATATACAAAAAATATACCTGCTGTTGTCTCTTCCTGAACATAAGTTGTTTATCAACTTTTTCTAACTTTACTGTTGGTGAAGGATGACCTCTTTTATACATGAAAATATCCCGAATTCGATCATCTTTATTCATTACAAGACCTTATCCAGAGAAAAATAACAAAAACAAACATTAAGACAGGCTCGTAAAAAACATTTTTAAAAACCTTTTAACAAAAATAATAAATAATAAGAACACGTTTTTCATCTTTTAAAATAAATTATAAGGTAAAAAGTACTTAAACCATTTATTTTGAATAAAAATCTGTTAATTAAAACTTAAAATTTATAAAACATACAACATTTATAAAATAATATTTTGATATTTAATAATTATTATAATTTAATTGAAAAATAATTCAAATCTAATACAACAATAAATAACAAAAAAAGAAAAATAATCAATAGAACCTTAACTTATTTCTTAAAAAATTTTAATTTTTTCTTTCTAAAAATTTTGCATCCTATTGATTATATGATAAAACATGTAAAATAATTTGTGAGGAGTTATTGAATTGGAATAGGCAAACAAAAATCTTTCCGATTATGTTTTGGATCTAACAATTTGATTGTATAAAATTTTCTCTTATTATTATTAAAACTTATATCATTACTAAAACCTTTGATAAAGCCTTTGATAAGAACATGCTGGTCTCCTTCATAAACTTTCTTCTTATGGTGTATCAGGTATGATAATTGAATTCTTCCTTACAAATCGTAGTATAAAAATGGACCTCGATAGACAGCACTCTTCTTCATATCCTATAATTTCAAGAGTTCTTCAAGGTTTTAATCTTGGTCTTAAACTTTTTTTAATTTACATTACCGATCTCCCAGAAATTGTCACATTAAGGTGGCGTTGTTTTCTGATGATACTATCATTTAAGAAGCCGACAATTTCTGATTGCTTGGAGGGGGAAATTTGAGCTTGAAAAAATTCTCACTTCTGCTGCAGCATGGGGCTCTCATTGGTTGATGAACTTTAACTCAGATAAAACTCAATTTTTTTCAGCTAATCGTTAGCATCTGCTAAGGTTGCATCACTTTATTGTGCTTGCCAATTTCTTACTCAGGATATTATTCTTTATCTCTCTAAATCTCTAATCCATTCTTGTATGGAATAGTGTTGCCATATCTGGGGCAGATCTTCCAATGACGCATTGTAAACAATTGGACCTGCTCTTGCAATTAACCTCCAACCATTATCACATTGTTGTAATGTTGCTTCTCTTTCTCTTTTCTATAAATACTATAATGGGCACTACTCTAAAGAGCTAGCGTTTTTTGTGCCATCTACTAAAATTCATTCTTGTCTTACTTGTTATTCAATTAAGTCCTATCCTTTTACTGTGACTGTTCCTAAGTGCTCCAAAAATTCTTATTTGATAGTTTTTTTCCTCGAACATTTATTCTTTGGAATTTGCTCCCTTTAACTTGTATTCCTGATTTATATAACTTGCAATCTTTCAAGTCATCTGTTAATTGTTATCTTGCTCTTTAAACTTCATCTTTTCTCTTCCAGTAAATTCCAACTCTAATAGTGGTTGCTTGCAGCCTTGTTAGAAGTGAAGATGTTGAAAAAAAAAATTATAATAATAATAAATCATTACATAATTATTAATATACAATAAATTGTTATTATCATATAATAAACTATTCTTATTATATAATAAATAATTTTGTAAGTAATTAATTTCAATGTATGCACTAAAGTTACTGGATCGTTTTTTCCAAAACACCTTTTTTTTATTTCTAAACAACTATTTCCAGGTTGGAAATATTTTCTGATAATAACTACTAAATAAAATTGTTTGCATTTACCCGAATGCTTGTCCACAAGCCATAGATCAGAGCTGTCAGAAGTTGGATAAGATTCTTTGCACATATTTAATAAATGTTGAAAGGTCATGTCCTACAAATTTAAAATTGATGACAATATTTGCTGTTTACTATAAAACTTTGTAAGTGTATAAACTAAATAAAAAAATGTAAAAACTAAAAATCTACCTCAGACACCTCAAACTTTTTTTTATTAGGCATTGCAACAATGATTTCCTAAAATTTCATTTTTAGATTTCAATAAACAATTTCAATACACAATATTGTCAAGTACAATCACTTCATAAACACACACACACACACACACACACACAAACACATACACACACATAAAACTTTAGCGTGAAACTACAAGAGACATGGTGGAATCATAAGAGAATCGCTTTGCACCACTGCTCATAAATTTCTCTTTTCATGACCTTTTTATGCTTAAATTTGATATAACCTTAATTTACCACTTCTTTAAACTTTAAAATGTGTGATCTCAATCATTTCTTTAAACTTTTAATTTTATAGCCTTAAAATTTAAAACTTTAAAATGTTATAACCTTATCCATAATTAATCATCATTCTTTGATGACTCTTCTGTATTTTTAAAACCGGAATAGTTCTAACACATATAAAAATTCTCAACAGTTTACCAAAAAGAGTATTTAATTTACTCAATTGTAAATAAAACAAGATCGCTTCTATAAGTTTTTATTAAATTTAATTCTTATCAAAACTAACAATTTATTGTAGATTAGTAATTGAACACAAACCTTTGTCCCAACAATATTAGCTGTCATCATGATAATATTCTAAAAAATATTTTTTTATTACAACAATTGCATAGTTTTAAGTATGACTTCACAAACATAGAATATCAATTGATTCTTAATATAAAATTAAATCATTTTTAAATGTTTTATATATGTCAGTAATTTCTACATTTTACTTAATTTATTTAACCATAAAATTAAAAATTACAAATTTAAATATAATTTACAAAATTAAGCTCATTTAGTTAAAAACTAGTCAATGGAGTGACACATAAATAAAATGAAATAAATAAAAAAATATTTAGACAAGGAAATAATATAGAAAGTAAACTACAATAATACAAGTAATAAAAAAAAAGGTAATAGTAACAATAATAAGAAAAAAATCGGAATCTGTACAATAATGTTAAAGGAGTAAGACTAACAAAAACGTAAAAAAGAGAGAATAAACAAATATGATAAGTTTAGTGAGAAAAAATGTATTAGAAAACATAAATTTCATTGACATAAGTTCAGAAGGATAGAGCAAGAGAAAAAAATTTCCGTAGACAAATATAAAAAAGCAAAATAAATGCAAATTAAAAAAATACATACACTACTACATATAATATAGGGTATAAGTTTATAATGAAAATGAAAACCCAACTCAATTTTAAAACTTGTATCAATTCATAGAAAAAGCAAAATCGTGGGACATATCCAGTGAGGAAATTCAGGTATCATTGGACGTTATAAACTCGTCAATTCCTCTTAAAGAAGCAACTGAAGTACTCATAAGTTTATTGGAGGTGAGCAATTTTAAAAAAGCGACAAAATTAAATATGAAAAAAATAAAAATTCTGATAGAACTATGTTTATACCAATCATACTTTTAGTATGATTGGTATAAACATAGAACAATGAAATACATGAACTTAAAAATTCAGGTCCGATCGGTCTTTTGTTTATGGTAGTTTTAGCTGAATCTTTTCTTCAACATCTTGAAAAAAGAGCACTTAATACAGCGCTGAAAACCAACCCAAATTTTAAATAGAATACTCAAAGGTTTCGTACATAGAGCATTTAATGTATGCAGTCAGAAACATTTAGAAAATGAACTGAAATTCTTTATTCAAGTATTTATCGAAAATGGCTACAAACACTCCAATCTCATAAAAATCATAAAAGAAATAAAACCAAAGAACAAGAAATCACTAGTGACTCTGAAAACATTGAAAACATCACCAGTACGTATCCAACAATTTCATTACTTTGGGTACCAATATTGTCTCCCAAATTATGTAGGGTGTTTAGGAAGGCAGGATATAAAACGGTCTTTAAATCAAACTTGAACCTAGAGGCAGTATTAACATCAAAAAGTAAATCCAAACTACAAATGAACAGCCACCCAGGAGTCTACCTTATTAAATGCCATTGTAACAAAAAGTATATAGGTGAAACAAAAATGCAAATAAAAACACGCATGCAACAACACAAAAACAGTACAATAGGAAATAAAACAGAACGGTCTGCAATAGCCACACACATGAGATATTGCGCACAACAATATATAAATAAATTATATTATATCTTTTCATTGGGACAGTTGCAGAACTCTAAAAGTTGATTCTAAAAAGTTTGATTGGAAAGTTTGTGAGGCACTTGAAATACAGTACCACCAATGTACCCCTCAACAAAATGGTATCAATTTAGATAAGGAACAATAAGTGTCAACAAAATTTTGGACACCATTTCTGGCACACTTACGTCAGAAAAAAATGAAACCATCCCATTGACATAAAACAGAACTGTTGTTTTAAAAATAAGATATAAACAAACAAAAAACTTTTAAGCTGAAGATGCTGGTCACAACAATTCAGCTAAAATTTCTTTTAAAAAATAAATTTAGTATTGAGAGAAACTTGTATTTATTGATGTTTATATAATAATAACTTACATACTCTCATACATGATGTCTACATTCAAAAAAAAAAAAAAAAAAAAAAAATATATATATATATATATATATATATATACACACACACATAATCATTTTTTTAAATCAATTTTTTTTTCATTTTACACTGTATTTCATCTATAAAGATTTATCAGAAATAATCTCTGGTTTTTTAATTTAAATTAATAAAGACTCATCAGAAATGAATCTCTGATGAGAATTTACTTTTGATGAGTTTTTATAGATAAAACACAACGTAAAATGAAAATAATTTTGATTTAAAAGTAATTTTCTTTATATATATATATATATATATATATATATATATATATATATATATATATATATATATATATATATATATATATATATATATATATATATATATATATATATATATATATATATATATATATATATATATATATATATATATATATATATATATATATATATATATATATATATATATATATATATATATATATATATATATATATATATATATATATATATATATATATATATATATATATATATATATATATATATATATATATATATATATATATATATATATATATATATATATATATATATATATATATATATATATATATATATATATATATATATATATATATATATATATATATATATATATATATATATATATATATATATATATATATATATATATATATATATATATATATATATATATATATATATATATATATATATATATATATATATATATATATATATATATATATATATATATATATATATATATATATATATATATATATATATATATATATATATATATATATATATATATATATATATATATATATATATATATATATATATATATATATATATATATATATATATATATATATATATATATATATATATATACTATATGTATGACTTGCGCTACCCTTAAAAATATTTTTTATTGCAGTATTATTTTATTACATAGAACACATTTAGAGGGTGGGATGCAGGCATTAATATAAATTATTAATTCTGATAACTTACATCAACATGCTCTCTTCTAAGAATAGGTTTCATTGTTGTAAAATGAACTTCTGGCACACTGGGAACAACCTAGAAATATTATATGCCATATTGAATTAAAATCATATTTAAATACTTACATAAAAAATTGTATTTCTCTAGTTTTTCTTCCATAATAAAACTTATAGAATAAAAGTAATAAAACTTACCTCCCATAATAACGACATAACACTAAAAATTCTTTCTTGGGTCATTTTCTTATTTGTTCGGTTATGATATATTATAACACCAATCTTAAAAATGTTATAAAATATATAATACAATACACAATAAACTTTTATTTAGTCAAAATACTTTGTCTGATGAGTGTGCATAAATCTCCCTCTCTCTTTGTGTTCAAATCAAGAGCAAATCTATATTTATATGGTAAACAAATCTATATTTATATGGTAACCATTTTTATTTATATGATAATTAACTTATTTGTTGTTTTTTTCTCAATAACTTCATATATTAAATGTAAGACCTTCCCTAAAAAGGATAATTAAACATTTAAAACATTTTAACAATTTAGACTATTAGTTAACTCAATTAATCTAAATCCAACTTAGTAACAACAAGATTTTGCTAAAAAGTTAAAAGTATGCACATTTCATCAAATCTACACCTAACTTAATGCCAAAAAAATAATTCTTCCTTTAATTAAAAAAGCAAAAATCAACTTTATTTTAACTAGATCTGGCATTGATCCACTATTTCAAATAAGTAATGGAGTGGCATAAGAAAAATAGAGTCAATGTTGTTCTAAAAAATGCTAATCCACCAAACTGTACTGAGCAGCAAAATTTACTATTTAACGGTGAACAGATTACCATGGAAAAAAGTTAAATGTGAAAATGGTGTTGAAAAATTTTAGATTAAAACAATTTAATTTAAAAAATTTTACTTTTCATAAAATTATATAACAAAGACTATATAAACCCCTGACTATACATAACAAGCTTTTCACTACAACAAACCCTTCACTATATATAACAAAACCCCTCCACTATAAATAACAACAAATTAAAAAATATTAACCAAGTTATTTAACAGCAAATGAGCAGCACTCGGAGGAAGCATGGGAAAGTGAAACAGCAATTTACGCAGAAGCAAAACTATTTCATCCTAAAAATTAATGAAATTACTAAATAACCATTTTGTATTTTGTTTTGGTTTTGGATAAAAACAGTAAAAGATTATAACCAAGTGATAAAAAAATATAAACATTTTTAAATCTGCTAGTGCGAAGCTTAGAAACAATCAACATCAAACCTGTTTGTCAAGACGCGTAATTTTATCAAAAAACTTTCGAAAAAATGTTTCAGGATAGTCAACAAGACATCTCCATACAATTTGTCGAGCTAGAGAACTAACTGAAATTTAAAAAATTGAGATATCATTCTGTATAGAAGTTAAATTATTTTTAATTCATAACCAACAAGAACACTAAATACAACGTAACTTATCAGATTTATCAAAGTTGAAATATATTTTAAAACAAAAACCTGATTGGTTGTAAGTTAAACTCAATGAAGTATCATCCAGTAATCTAACAAGGCTGTACATTGACAAACACATTGCCTCAGGAAAGAAAGGTTGAATTTGATGGCGTGCATTTTCTAAATCAATTAAACTAATTTTTACTTAATGAATATAATTAAACCTGCTACAAAAATAGTTAAAGACACACTTTTGATAAAAATAAATAGTTTTCCATTTGAGCAACTGTATAAATATAAACATTTGAATTTTATCATAAAACTGTTAAGTGTTAAAAAACCAGTCAACTCAATTTAAACAAGAGTGAAAATTTATAACTAACTCAGGATGGAAAAAGACATGACTTTTTTAATGTGTCTGAATTTGTTCAATTTGTGACCAAAGATGTGTGCTTTTAATTGTGACACTTCTAATTAATATTATTTATATTATTTCATTTTTATTTTTTGATCTTATTTTTTATTTAAAATTTTTCTTACAATAAAATGATGTTTTTATTTAGTCTTTTTTTTTTTATCCTTTTTTAACCTTGTTAAGGTTCCAGAGGGGCCTTAATAAAGTCAAAGAGACTGTTGTTGGTTGAGTGTTTTTTTAATTTTATTTGCAATTTTTTATTTTACTATTACACTCGAAAAAGCTTTTCATAAAAATTTATATAATTTAATTAATTTATACAACTTAACTAATTTATACAATTTAACTAATTTATACAACTTAGTTTATACAATTTAGTTAATTTATAATTATGATTTAGTTTAATTTAATTATAAATTAACTAAAAAATATTTAAATAAAATAATAACAATTTAGTTAATCTATACAACTTAATTAATTTATACTATTTAGTTAATTTATACAATTCATTTGATGCTAATTTATCTAAAACAAGTGGAAGATGCTATCAAAAAACTATTAATAGGAATCTGTGACATGGTTACGTGAATCCGAAATTGATCAAGCTAAATAAAAATATGGTAAAAAAAATCAGCAAAGCAATGTCACAGCCAGCAATAATAAATCCATTAGGTTGCAAGTTGCAAGCATGAACATAAAACTCTTGATCAACTAACAATAATTAATAAATTAAATAATGAGCAAAAAAAAAGTGAACAATAAAAATAATTTTTTTTTTTAATTTTACAAAAAAATGAAAAAAATGTTTTTATATAACATTTAATAAACAAAAAAGCGATATGATCTTAAAAAGACAAAAGGATGAAATACAGAAATGTTACACATAATATACAAAAAATACACAAAAATAATATGTAAAAAATGCACAAAAAGGAAAAAATACTATCACATTTAACACAAAAAACATTTTTTAACTGAATTAAAGCTTTCTAAACCAAAGCAAATGATTGTTGAACTTTTCTATCTAACTTTATTTTTTTTGTTTTTTTAAATCTAACTTTTTTTTTTTTTTAATTGCTTACAGCACCAAATAAATATCCAGATAATAAGAATGATTTTCTCAGCTATGACAATACTCAATTCAATATGCAATAAATTGAGTATAAAATCAATTAAAAGCAATTTAAAGTCTTCAAGACTCAGAGTTGTCAAACTTAAAAAACTCAAAACTGTTGAATAAGCTTATGCTTCAGCTAATGTTGAAAAATACTGAAGAAATAACAAATACATTGTCAAAAAAAAAAACTGCTGTTCTTGTTAACAACATTTAAGTTTATGGCCCAACAGACTGGAAATAAACTATGAAAATTAATCTTTTAAGATTTTTTTTTAATCTATTATTACTTAAAAATATTATTTTTCCTTGTTCTTTCTAATCAAATGAACTTTATTGATACAGATATCTCTTTATACGGTAGTGGTGTAATGGTAGAGCGCTTGCTTCATAAACAAGAGGTTTAAAGTTTGATCCCCACCAGGTCCCTGGTAGTACCGTCCAACTCATTTCTCCACGCAGTGGCCTTGTTCGTCAATGTTCATGTTTTGGAGTTATAGAGTTGAGAGACAGTTATAACCACAAATAAGTAGCCTCCTTGTCTGTATTGGCCTTCTCAGCCTTAAAGAGGTAAATTTAGAAAAAAAATAATAAACTTATGCAAATAAAAAAAAGGTGACAATTGTGGTACAATCATTAACATTGCTTCTTCTACTGGTTTAGCACAAAAGGATTTGGATGAATCAATGTTAATTCGTCCTAATCCCTTTGAAGACATTATTGTGTTTCCAAATCAATTATTATTTATAATGTCTTTGGCATACTCCAATATAAGAATAAACTTCCGCATACTCCTTATAAGAATAAACAAAAATCTTGAAAATGAATTATAGTAGAAATTCATTTGATTGTTTATATTCAAACTCTTTTTTTTTCTTTTTTTTTTTCGGAATGATTGAAATAAATTGCATTAATGAATAGCTCATGGGAACAACAATCACAATAATATTTGCGGAAAAGAAAAAGAATTGAATTGTTATACAATGAGACAAAGCTTAATTCTTGTTTGCGTTAGCATGGTCAACAAAAATTAGAATGGGTCCTTTTAAAATTGCCTAAAACTGAAAGCACATCATTAGAAAAAAAGGATAATGTTTGAATCAGAAGTATAAGAGTGACAAACAGAATAAAGAACTTTATAGGATTTTATAATGGAATTTATTTTTTCTAGAAGATTTTAGTAGTAAATTATAAATTAAAAAAAATTTATAAAATGAAATTAAGCTAGTATGTTACCATTCGTAGATAAAGGATTAAAATCTAACCATATTTAACAATATAAAATCAAACTATGTACTTATTGTAAACTATGTGCAAACTATTTAACTAATTCAAAGACCAGACAGATTGAAAAACAGAGGCCATATAAGTCCACAACTTTTTTTTAAATCATAACATTTACTTGTTTAATTTAGTAAAAGAAAAAAAAACTCACCATCTTCATCTTGAAAAATCTCATAATCTAGCGACGATTGAAATGAAAATGGAACTGTACTCATAAGAAACTTTTCACGCAACCCTTTTAGTTTTGCAGCTCTCTTGTTTTGTGCAGCTTCACTTTGTTTATTACTCTCCATAAAGTAATCTTCATCATCAGAAATATCACAATAAAAGTTGTTAGAAGTTGCTGGCACCCATGGAGCATCTGGCACAATATCTGGTACTTCACCAATACGACGACTTGGTAAAGTAAACTCAACTTTCAACAAAGGTATCTAAAATTTATTTAGATTTAATTTGTTATCTAGATTTATCTTTATTTTGATACAGGCTCAAATGTAAATTATGTAAAATAAAATATAAAAAAGAAAAGCTAGTTACACTACATTTTTAACACATTTATAGGTATTTATGTATGTATGCATGTAAGTATAAAAAAGAAAAGCTAGTTACACTAGATTTTTAATATATTTATAGGTATGTATGTATGTATGCTTGTTAAATTTTATATTAACTTACTTTTTGTGAAAATTTGGCTAAATCTTCTAAATTATCATAAACTTGATGTTGGTTGCTCCACAGTACCCCAAAGCTATAAGGTAATAAAATAAAATAATTTTCATTTTGGAATTAAGGTGTTAGTGAATTATTTATTAAATTTAAACCTGCCTATTTCTTGGCTTTAATAGGGTTCAATATTTGATATTCATATATTTTTATGCCAGCGAAACCTCATTGAAAATTAAATTTTAAAGAGATCAAACAAAAAAAAACTAATACTTTGCAGTATTTTAAAGTCTCAAAGAGACTTTTAAAACTTAAACTACCAAGCCATTACCGCAATTGTTGTTACCACAAACATTGTGTCTAGAAATTATTGCTAACTATGAAAAACAATAACCTTTACATCAACAAAATTTAATTATTTTTTGTCAAAGTAAATTGTAATACTAAGAAACATAATATCTACAATGGGAACCTGTCTGCAGATTTTATTATTTTTAACAAAAGATTAACAAAAGTTACAAAAATTTAGCAAATTAACTAAAGATTGTATCATCTTTAGTATACAACTGGGAAGACTGCTTCATCAAATGAAGTCTACTTAAACTTGATCAAGTACTTTATGTAGTAATGGATAAAGAATTTAGGAGAAACAACATGTCACTCAATATTGAATATCGATTTATCCTGGAACTTGTAAAAAGTACGAACAGCTTTAGAAGAATCTCAAGAATGATAAAGATCACTGAAACAGCAGGATGATGAAATTTCTATTTCATTTATCTCAGGTATTTTTTTGAAGAATCTGGAGTATTTCCTAAATTAAAGTTTCAGAAAATACCTAAATTAAATTAGAATTCCCGAGGCAGATACAGCGGTTACCATTGTGACATTAGTGCCTCTTTCCCCAGATGTCATAGCAATACAAACACTTTTGGCATTTATTTTTTTTACCAGAAAGAAGGGACTCATTACTTGACATATGTCGATTCATCTCTTACAGATAGGTGGACCATTGGTTTATTGACTAAATGTACAATACAGACGATTATCGGAATTATTATGTAGCAGTATGAACGTTAAACTTAGTAAAAAACTTTTAGAACCACTGAAAATACTCAAAAAAAATCAGAGTATACAACAAGCATAAATTCAATCAATTCTGTAAAAAAAAGAAAGCCTCCAGCTTATAATTATTTTGTCTAACAAAGCATAAGAATTGTATATTACGCTTTAATTAAGCTGAATACTTCACAACATTTTTCCGATATATACTGTAGCTTTTTGTACTTGTAGAATTACTATTTAAGTTTGTAATTGTAATTTAGAGTGTAAAGATGTAACAAAAAACTGTTAAATGCGTAAAAACTATATAATAACTCTCCAATTAAAAAATTAGAATTCAAAAATAACGATCATAAAATTGTTTAAAATTTCATCCATACACATATTTGGTAAATTCAAAGTTTTGGTTTGTAGGTGACCTTTTTCAACAAGAAAATCAAAAGTTTTTTTATTTTTTCCATGACTTCGGTGCAATTATTCATTGTCATAACGTTATAAATAATTATTTGAATAATCATACTTTTGGATATAAGATATAAAGTTTTATTTACTATTGGGAGATAAACTGAAAACAAAATCTATCGAAATTATATGTTAACTTCTTATTTATTAAGTTTACATACAAATTAATATAATGTCCCATTAGATTAGTTTATAATTTACTTGCCTATAAATCACCCTTAGTGACATTAACATCTATACATATTCTTTGCATTCTACTTAACGACTTTTCCAATTTGTCAAAGTCAATTTTATGCCACTCACTAATAAGACTGTTCAACATCTTTTGCATCAATAGGTATTAATTTTGACATTACTTTTAATTCATCACATTAAAATCGGATTGATGAAATATCTTGTGATTAGAGAGTCTAAATCATTATATTAAATAATTGATCATTTTTGAACTAAGTCAAAAAACTTGAACAAATTTTTTTTTTTAATTATATGTTTTGAAGATTTGAAACTTTAACACATAGGTCCAATGTTTACAATCATTTATGATCCATTTTTTATGTAGTTTTGCCTACTTTAGTACTTTTTTGCCTACTTTAAATTAAAACATTTTTTAAAAAATTTTATAACATTGTATTATCATTATAATGTGTTATTAGGGTTATGACATTGATTATTTGTATATATTCATTGTCATAACCTGAATTTAAATATATATACCAAGCTCTTCTTAACACCTAAAATGACCATGCTTATAGCACTTTGTTTTGACAACATAGCCATGGCTCTTTGCATGTTTATATAATTAGCATGAAAAAAACGCTAAAAAAACACAGCAAACTCAAATTAAAATAAGTATTCCATAAACATAAAAAAGAATAAAATCTAAAAAATAATATTTAAACTAAAAAAAATAAAAATTTTAAATAACAAAATAAGTAGTAGAAAAAAGAAAAAATTGAAACACTTATTAATTTATGTAAACTTAATCATAAACGAAAATTTAAAAAAAAAATTATCACAGCTCTATCTGTTCTTGACCATGAATAAATAAGCCAGTTGCAAAATTTTATAACAAAGGAATGTATAAAAGATTTTCTTTTTTGAAAGTTAAATCGTTTTAAAATATCCATTCAGCGTTAAGTTAATTTTTGTTTTTGGCAATTATGAGTAAACTGCTTTTGATAATAAATGAGCAAAAGTAAAAAATATCAGTCCTTGTAACTATTGCGCAAGTTTAATTTTTAAATGAATGAACTTTTGATCTTTAGCTTGCTATTTTAGTTTACGTGAGGAAAACGAAAAAACTTTTTCAGACAGTTTTTTTTCTTTCAATATTCTTTTTAAAATAATAATAAAAAAAGATTTCAATAACTTAATAAAAGTTTTATTTAGATCTGTTTAAAATAACCCATAGGAAATTTAATTTATTTATTCATATGTAATTTTTTAAATTATTCTTAGTAATTAAAAATATGTATTTTTTTGAATATATGTTTTTAAAAATATAATATGGTTTTTAATCATAATAATAGAATATTTTTTAGATTATTTTTACTGTAAATATGTCTTTAACTATCTATAATTTAAAAGGCGACTTAAAATCACTTTTAAAACTAAACCTTTAGTAAAAGTTAAATAAACAGATTTACTAATATTTAAATCAAAATTTTAAATTTAAAATAACAGAAAATAAGTTTATCAAATGCTTTTGTTTTTAATTCAAATACAAGACGTAAAACTATTTTGTTAATTTTACAAATATTATGCAATATATATATATATATATATATATATATATATATATATATATATATATATATATATATATATATATATATGTATATATATATGTATATATATATATATATATATATATATATATATATATATATATATATATATATATATATATATATATATATATATATATATATATATATATATATATATATATATATATATATATATATATATATATATATATATATTATGTAATGTAAATATTGATTAAAAATTGTTTAAAATATTTTTGATTATTATTTTAAATTAAATTTACTAAAATATAGTTAATAACTGTTTAAAATACTTTAAACAATTTTCAATAATTATTTACTGATAGCGTGGTATAAGCAACAAAAGCGTTTATTAAAATCTAAAGTAAAATAGTTTTCTTTTAGCTAAAGTCCACCAGTAAATTCATGTATCCAAAAAATGCCTTTAAATCAACACCTTATTATAGGATAAAACTGAACAAGATAAATATAAATGATTATTAAGAAAATGATGATTAAAAATTATTGGTGTGGCACCCGTTTAACTAGGGGAGAATAAGGGGGGAGGAAAATCAAAAACATAATTCCCCCCCCCCCTCCTCAACGTTGCTGAAAAAAAAATGGTATCCCCAAATAAACTCTGGGTTCTTCACTGTTAACTAAAACTAAAATAAAAAAAATCAAATTAAAACATTATAAAAATAAATAATAAACTATAAGGATAAGATTATCTAAATTAGGTTTGGAATAAATAACTTGGAATTATCTTTATTAATGTTTTTATAAAATAATATTATGCGAAAACCGTTTTTAAATAAAGTTACAACTTACATTTAACAACTGTTTCTTAAACTTTAAAATGTTTGAAAGTTTAAAAAAAAAGGATTCTTAACAATTCTTCACAGTAACGTAAACAAAAGAAAAAATAATTAAATCGTTTTTTTAAAAGTTGGAATAATTTTGTTTTTTTATTTAAAGACATTTATAATAAAAAATAAATACTTATATAAACATAAAAAAATATATGAATTATTCATTATTATTTTTATAAAAAATCATTAGCAGTCATTTGTTACTTTATTTAAACATGTCTCAATAATATAAAATCATAAGTAAAGATCAAAGTTATTAAATTCAAACAAATATTTAAACTGCTTTCAAAAAAGTTTGTCTTTTTTTTTCTTCTCAACAAAAACTATAATGATTCTTATATAAAGTTTATTAAAGAGACCTGTTTAAAGTTGTCACATAAAATTTAATTTTTTTCTTTATAATTTCTTTAACATTTTTTATTTTACTTATAAAAAAATCTTAAATAATTAAATAATATAATAAAAGCTTATACAATTTTCAATGATACTTTACTTAAAATCATTAGCTACTTTCTTTAAAAGTGTTTTGCTAATATAAAAATGCTAGTAAAGGATTTACTAACGTTTTTATATAAGCAAAATGCTTTTATAAAAAAAGGAAGTTTTAATCATGTTGAAAATAAATAATTTCAATGTTTTAAAGTTATTTATTTTCAACATGATTAAAAACAAATTTTTTCAGCGCATTTGTTGAAAAACCGTGATTAAATTAAAATAAAATATTATTTGCGTGGTCATATAAAGACTTAAAATTGCATGCTTTCCTGGCCAAGCCTGTGCATGCCTACCTGGCAAAGCTTGACTTATGTAATTAATGCTTATACAAATGGATTTTTTATATTTGCATAATCTTAAATGACATCTTATTATTATATATATTTACACATCTGTATATAAATTTCTTATACCTCTTCAACCCTTGGAATTAGGGTCAACATTCGGCAATGCCAACCTAACAGCCAACCTTAAAGTATTTGGGGGCTGCAAAAAATTGCCGTCCTTGTTTCTATGCTTTATGGTGACTCTTTTGTTTCAAAATTTTTTTTGCTGACCTGATACCAATTCATTTCCAATCTCATTTTTGCTAATTCCAAGGGTTGCCTCTTTATAAAAAAGTGCTGAGAGACTCTTTCTTGCCATTACCTAGGCCTTTAATGGCCACAAAGAGTTTGGTGTTAAATATACTAGAGTGGGCACTAACAGCACTATTAAGTTTAGCATTATTATAAAGAAATAAGTACATAAATTACAATAAACTACTTTTTTTTATGAATTTACCTAAGTATAGCCTTTATTCTGTGATCAACTTTGCTCATTGAAAACTGCTCCAATAAAAAGTTGCTTACATAACTACCCAAACGATTTGCGCAAACCAAAAACAAACTGGCTAAAATAAAAAATAGAATAAATACTCATTCATAAAATATTAATTTAAAAATTGAAAGAAATTTTAAAAAATGCATGCCTGCTGCTGATTTTATGTGCTGGTCAGGATAGAGTAATCTATCCCATGCCACTGTAATTGTTTCTTGAAGTTGTTGATTATCCATCACTAAAATACCTTTACATAACATTTGGAATGGAGCTGCTGCTAGTGATTGAGCCTTACAAGAAAAACTTCAAGAAATAAAAAATTATACTTAATTTGAAGTTGAAGTACTATCTAGAACTGTTGTTATTATACTATTTAAAGCTATTACAGAATATTATTAAAAATAACTAATTACTTTTTCTTTGAAATAGTTTGTCCATGAATTTCTTGCATTTCTAGAATGCTGAAAACCATCATATACACATCGAAAAGCATCTTCTAATTGAACTGACAGTTTAGCATTAAGCACAGAACAATCATGATGACAACCTTCAACTCCATGTTTACATAAAGAGTGAACACTTTTATTCATTTTTAGGATTGTGTTTAACCAAGAGTAATGGATATCCTCTGAACCAACTACAGTTGCAAAACGATGAAATGATTGCCTTTCAAAAGATGGTGATGATGTCCTTCGTGAAAACGATCGAACATTTTTAGGACTTCCTCCAAGTAAATGACTAAAACTAGATCGTGCGTTCTTGTTTGATGAAGGACTAAGTGGTATCTTATCAACTACCATTTCATTCAAAGACAAAAGATGGGTTGCAGAACTTTTGTGCCGTTGAATTCCCTTTCTTAAATTCAAAGCAGTAGAGTTTTTTTTCAACAATCCACTCGTTGAGCCATCTTCTGCATTGCATTGTGTTGATAGTGCATGTGAGTCATAATTAGGTGGAATGGTGACAAATGTTTCACGTAAGTAAGATGTAATCTCATGTAACAATAAGCACGACACATAACGCAAAGATGTAGGACAGTTTGATGAAACAAATGAGATTTGACCTAGAAATAAACAGCTTAAATAATAACAAATTTAACCAAAAGGGATAGTGATATGAGGGAGAATCATTCTATGCATTATAGATGATAGACAAATAGGCATATATAAATAGATCATAGATAAATATTCATCAATTGAAGAATACGCATAACTTTAACTATCTATAATTATTTACATAATTTCCACTAGAAATATGGATTATAGATTTTTTTTACTTGTTATTATTTAGTTTTTTTTTTCTAATTTTTGATGATGTATACGGGCCAAGGCTAATGAAATCTATATTACATATTTTATTAATATAGAACTCATTGGCCTTGGCCTGTTTTAATCCAATCAAGTCAAAAGAGAGAAAACAGAGTTTGCTTTTTTTACAGATTAGGACTTTGTTTTAACCCTTCAACCGTTAAAAAGTGTTTACAGTTATCAAAGTTTTGTTGTTCCGAAATCCCTTAGATCTTATTGAACTTTTTAGAAGCTCAAAACAAAATCAAAAGTTGTAAAACTTTGTTTACAGCTGTTAGCTACAGATTAAGATCATTATTAACTTTTTTTATTAAATTTAATACAAAAAAATATATATATACTTATAAGCATATATATATATATTAGAGGCTATTCTAGACCGTTTTCAACAGACCGTATTTGGGCACCAATTTGGGTGCCTCCCAAATACAGTCAAATATTTTTTTACGTTATCTACGGCAAATATTGTTACTTTGTTTTTATTTAATTTATTTTTTGTTTTAGTTATTTATTACAAAGCTATTTTTATTTTATTTTTCATTACTTTTTTAAGAAATTTTTTTTCTTTTAATAAAATAAGTTTGTTTTTTTAGTTTTTTAGTTTATATATATATATATATATATATATATATATATATATATATATATATATATATATATATATATATATATATATATATATATATATATATATATATATATACATATATCAGCCCTCAAAATTAGGGTCAGCATTTGGTAATGCTGACGGTGTCTGAGGTCGGCATTTTTTTGTGCCAAAACAAAAGTTTTATTTAAATTCTAAATAAATTAATTTAAAAAAAAAGACAATTGACTATTGTTGAACTTTGCTTATAAATTTTTGCAAATTTATAAGCAAAGGTCAACACTTGAAAGAAAACAACGAACTCAGTATTTTTTTTTACAACTTTTTTTAAAAACTTTTTTACATTTGTAACAACATGCTTCAATTATATATAATTATAAGACTGTTAAATACAAAAACTATTTAATACAGTGAAAACAAACATTATATTCAACTATATTTGTTAGCCAAACAAAAGAAAACATGAAAGGTGTGAAACTCTACATCATAAAATAATGGAAAATGTAGATAATTAGTGTAATACATACGTCATAGAGTAATAGAAGATGTTGATTAGAGCTGGAGTGATAGTAATTAAAAACCTGTTTGTTGAGATCAGGTTTTAATCTTATTTAAAAAAAAAAAAATTAAAAAATTAGTTATAAATCAAGGCATACTGTATTGAAATTTTCACGTTGTATTTTCTAAAAATTGTGATAGACTCATTATATATAGAAATTATTCTTATTTTATAAAAAAATTGCCATTTTAATTTTAATAATGTAAATATTTTAGTACAAGGGTTGTCCCAGAACTACCTAGCCTAACAGAGAAAACACAAAATTTTGAAAAAAAAATTACCATGACTGAAAGCCTTAACCTTTGAAATTAAAATTTTGTGTTTGAGTGAAGAAATCAAGGAAAAACATCTGCATTTGGCAAAGAAGAAATTGTTGTTTCATTAAGACAATGCACTAGTTCACACATCTGTTATTGCCATGGCTAAAATTAATGAATTAAAGTTTGAATTGCTGCCTCATGCACCCTATTCACCAGATTTAGCCCCCTCAGATTATTTTCTATTTCCAAACTTGAAAAAATGGCTTGGTGGGAGAAGATTTTTTATAAATGAAGAGGTAAAGTTAACCATCAACCCCAGTTGATGGCTATTTTGCAAAGTTTAATGGTTGTTACTATAAATAAGGTATCAAAGCAATTGAACATCGCTGGGAAAAGTGTATCGAGCTAAAAGGGGACTATGTTAAGAAATAAAAATAATTTTTTTCTTAAATAACCATTTAAAACATATTTACAAATGTTATTATAAGTGTTTTCAACAATGGAATTCACTTCCATGAAAGCACTTTTAATAAAAAAAAAAGAAAAAAATGAAGAATAATGAAAAAAAGTAGTGCTAATAAACCCTTAGTTAATGTAGAGGCACTCCATTGTGGCAGTAGGCTATAAGATAGTCGATGTATATATTGAAGCCTCAGTCCGCAAGTTATTTCAGTGTGATATCACAGTGCTTATCTAAACAAACATTTATTGTTATATGAAAAATAAATGAAACTTTCCAGAAATATGAAATACTATCATGTAATTTAGTATGAAAAAGTTTCAGCATTAAAGTCTTAAACTTTTTTCAAACACTAATTATATATAATCGATCTTTTACACCAATAAAAAAATCAATGACATCATTTACTAAAACTGTTAGAAATAAAATGCACTTCAATAAATTATCAAGTCTGTAGATTGTGGGGTATATAGTGCTAACTTTTTGAACTACAACAAAACAGAGAAGGCGAGCTTTGACTAAAATAAAAAAGTTAGTTTTTCTAAATATGCATTTATATTTTGTTTTAATAAAAAAAATTTAGCCCAAACATTTTTTTTTATTATTCTCTTTAATATAAACACAATATGCCTCGAAGGTTTGGGATCCCTTTAAATGATATCTTATAAAGAGTTTATTTTTTTATGACTAAAAAAAAACTTTTTTAATGAATATAACTCAATTAATAAGAAAAATTATTATTTTTTGCTTGAATTTACGCTATTTTTCTTATAAAGTTTAACTTTTTTTGTCTTTTACAGATGATTGTCAGCACATAAATAATATTATCTTTTATAAATGATTGTCAGCTAATAAATAACACTATGTAACAAATTAATACTTTTGTTCTGTTTTGGTCAAAAGTGTGTTTTCCTAACCCGTTAGGTCTAGAACAGAAAGGAAATCGCTGTTATTCCAGAAAAACTTTACTTCTTTAACCGGGACATTGAAATTTGGAAAATTGAGTGTTTTCAAAAAATTTCTCGATTTGCTTTAAATGCCAAGCTTCCTCCTTTAATATTGCTGAACAGCTAGAGTTGTCTAGATGTTTCTACAATTTTCCTAAACACTCTAGAATGTTCAAGAAACTTTGAGAACTTTCAAGAAACTCTAAGAACTTTCTAGAACATTCTTGAACGTTCCAATAGTAGCTGTACAGGTATAAAAACACAGATGTCTCAAACCAAGATTCCAATTTATGTTATTGTTTATCTAGACTGAAAGGATAATGATTCGTAGTTAAAGAGAAGTTATTTGTTTGATATGGCATCAAGAAGTTGTTTAAATCCAGCTGATTCATTCTTTTACATGTGCAGACAATTCATAAAGACAGGAGTGAAAAAGTATTCCATGAAACCAAGGCGTATAATGTGCAAGGCCTACAAGGAATACTTCAGCGTGCTGGTTGGAGAACAAGATAAATCTTGGGCACTGCATTTCACATGCAGTGTCCAATATTGCAAGAAAACACTTTAAAGTAAACTGAGCAGTTTCTCGCTTAGATGTGTTTTAATTTATTTTCATAAAATATCAATGCTAGTTCATTTCAAGGTTTCGACTTTTTCGAAAATTTCAGATCTAGTTCATTTCAAGGAGTTGTAATTTACAAAGTTTTGTCATAAGTCGTGTACAGTAGGCAAATATATTCCATCTTGAAATCGTTCCATATTTTAAAATTACCAGTTCTCAAATTATTATAATTATTATGTATTATTATGTGTCATGTTGCAGGTTAGTAAAGAGAGAAGCAAGCCATGAAGTTTGCTATCCCACAAATTCGGCAAGAGCTGACGGACCACTCAAGCAACTGCTACTTCTGCATGGTAAACCCAAAAAATCACCACACCAGCAAAAACGCCCCTCATATCGTTTACCTAGATATACCTTCTTCTAGCGCCCCAGTACTATACAGCCCTAATCTGCCTGTTCTGACTCCTCTTAGGTGGCATCGACCATCTTTAGGAGACAGAAGCAAGACAGATACTGGAGATATGGACTTGGATTCTGCAGATGAAGTTGGAGACAGAAAGTCGTTTTTCCTTAACCAGAAATACGTGAATGATTTAATTAGAGACCTCAGGCTTACAAAATAGAATACTGAGTTTCTGATATCCAGGCAGTAGAACTTGGTTGATGATAGCGTACAAGTCATGGATCAGAGGAAGTAACATTAAAAACTCTCTAATTTCTTCAGTCAGCATGATGGTCTGCACTTTTCCAACAATGTTGCCGGTCTATTGCAGGCTATAGATATCGCATGTAATCCTATTGAATGGTGCCTACTCATAGAAACCCAGAGCCTCAAAGCCATGTTGCTTCACAATAAAAAAACAAGTACTCGTCTTTCCCAATGGCTCACTGTGTGCATCTCAAAGAGGACTACACCAGTGTCAAAATATTGCTGAGTGCATTAAAGTGTGATGATTATGGATGGGAGGTCATTAGTGATTTCAAAATAGTTTCATTCTTCATAGGTCTTCTATGAGGTTTCATGATATTTCCTTGTTTTCTCCGGTTCTGGGACAGCCGTGATACTAAGGCGCATTATCGAACAAAGGACTAGCCACAACAGACCAAGTTTTCTGTTGGGAAGAGCAATGTGAAGTGGGAGCCACTGATAGAACCTCATAAAGTGCTTATGTCACTGCTGCACATCCTGTTAGGCCTCATTAAGTATTTTGTCACTGCTTGCAACAAGGAGTCAGCAGCATTTTAATACCGCCAAGATCTTTTTCCAAAGCCGTCCGAGGCTAAAGTAAGGACTGGTATATTTATTGAACCATAGATCAAGAAGATCATAGAATGTGAGGATTTTACAAAGCTGTTGTACAGGACAGAGCAGTTTCACTGCAGTTGTTCAGGGCTTCCTAGGTAATCACAAAGCTTAAAACTATGTGGAGTTGGTCCAGACTCTCATAAATAATTACGCCAAAATGGGATGCAGAATGCCTCTGAAAGTCCATATCCTTGATTCACATCTAAACAAAATCAAGCAGATTTTGCCTACTTCAAGGAGGAGTGCCAAGGTGAGTGCCAAGCCTACTTTGAGGAGGAAGGTGAGTGCTTTCATCAAGATATATTGGACTTACCAACATCTTACATCCTTACCAACAACAGTATAACAAAAACATGATGGGGGACTCCTTTTAGGGGCTACATCAAGAAAGTGAATCTCTTTAAAGTCATAAATCTAGAAAGTCTAAACATTTCTGAACCTTGTTGAGTGGTTTCCAACTGTGTTTGTCTATTCTTTTTGCAATTTTTGCTTATACCTGATCATAATGACAAAAAGGAAAAAAAATTGTTCTATTTTTCACAAAAAATCAGTTTGCTTTGTGTTGTTGTTGTGTAAGCAAAGTTTGTGATTAATGAAGTAATTTTTTCACATACTTTAGGCAAAACCAATTGAAATATAACATTTAGAAACCAGTAACAAAAATTATGTTACATAGTGTAATTTATCATAGATAATCTTTTACAGATATATTAGAATATTTTAAAATTCTGATTTTAATGTAGGCACTTTTTCAAAAAAAAAAAAATTCTTTACTTTGATGTCATCAGTGGCATTTTGTGCTAAATTTAATCCACAGCATAAGATTACATCTGGTGCAAATACAAAAAAAGTCATACATAAAAGATATGTAAGCAAATTATAATTTTTTACTTTCAAAAGATAGTCAAAATAACCAAAAAAAAATAATGCAGCAGCCTAACCTTTTCTTCCATAGAACAGTTACTAATACAAAATCAGTATTTGTTAAACACTGATTTTTATGCTAATTATATATAACTTATAACTCTATTAGTAATTTATTGAATTTTAAGGCACAATTAGCAAAACTGCATGCTTCAATAAATTTTCATGTGGCCACAAAAACGGTAATGATTACAAGAATATATTAATGTTCACAAAAACAAATTTTTAAAATTTTCAAATTTAAAGTATATACCTTGGTACATAAGTTCCACGTCATCCTTACTTTTTATGCTACCAGAAAGCATACATTCATCATTCTGATCTTGCACTAGTAGCTCCTCAAGTTTTTTACCAATAGCAACACCCCATTTGTGAAAGATAATTCCAGCTTGATATTTTAGCATCTCAGCCGTACTACCATAAGGAAAACCTTTTATAAGTTTAGTCACAGATAAAGGCCATATTTCATGGTTGCAGCAGTGAACAAAATACGCAATCTCAAGTAGATAACAAGCTCTTGAAACAACAGGCGCTTCCTGAATGTTTCAGTAAAAAAAATAAAACAAGAGAAACAGTTTCTGATTAATACTGATTTATATATTTAAAATAACTTATTTTCTTTTATTATTTCTTTTTTTTTTTTTATCACAAAGTTTTTGTTTCAATTAATCTATAGATAACAAGATATTTATTCTGGATTCACTTGGATTATTCATTCATTCAGGATATTCATTCTGGAAACATTCATATGATATTTCATACTTTTTATTTTGGAGTACTTGTTTAAGATTAACATTTAAAAAAATAAATAACTAAGTTTCATAAAATATAACTTACCAAATCTAGCATAGCAGCAATTATCCCTTCATCAATGGCACTACCAGGCTCACCAAGTTCTAATAGAGTTCTGAGATTATTTAAACCTTTGCGAAGTCCAGTTATATTTAAAAGCTTCCCTTTATGAAGATGAGGGTGGAGTACCGGCTTGTTATCTAGTTCATCATAAACAATTTTAGTTAGTGAAAAATGGTCAGATTTAACACTTTGAGATGTTTTAGGTGAATTAACATCAGAAATTCCAATAAACTGGGACAAAGATGTAGATGGAGAATTGCTACCACTAGAAAATTCAGATTCATCTATGGTTTTTTGCGGCCATAGCTTCTACATCACAAAAATCACAACTTGACAATAGTTCATGTATTGGAGTTTAAAGGTTGAGAAGCATAGCAATAATAATTTTTTTTTTAAATGCTTAAGTCAAAATACAAACTAAATTTCAGATATAGACATTCAGCAAAATAATTTTGCAAGATATCAAGATTTTGTACAAAATAGTTTTCATTAGATGTAGAACATTTAAAAATTTTCATCAAATATAGACATTCTGCAAAATAATTACTAAAACTTTTTTTTCACAATCTTATTTCTCTAAAAAAAAATTTCTAATGTGCTACACAGTATATATTTGGAAAACTAATTTAGAGTTTCCAAATATAAACTTAAGATAATTTAAGAAGATAACATAAAATTTTATTTCTAAATTGATTTAATCAGGTAAATAAAACATGGATCATTATTAATATTATCAAAACCACTCATCATTATAGTATCAATGTAGTATTTTTGAACATACGATAAGTATGAACTAAAAAGTTTATAATCATGTCATTCCATACATAACGTATGTCCAATAAATAACCAACTTGGTTCTTTTTTACATTAAAAAAAAAAATATTTCACTTAGATTCTTTTACAATGGCAAGACAAAAATATAAGACAAAAGTTTGTAGCTCAAAACGAAGACTTCAATATACAGATAGACAATTAAGAGATGCTATTAATGTTGTTAAAAAAGGTATGTTTGTGTACAAAGCAAGCAAGACATTTGGACTTCCTTATCAGACGCTTCCTGATAAAATATCTGGAAAAACTCCTCTGAAGATACAACACTGCGGTTATGAATCAGTACTAGGTGAACACATTGAAAATAAATTAGACGAGTGGTTATTATCATGCACCAGAATGGGATTTGCCATGTCTGTAGTACAGCTATTAGATACTGTGTCAAAATACTTGAATTCCAAGAATATAAAAACACAATTTACTAACAACCGTCCTGCAAAAGGTTGGTTTTATGCATTTCTTTGCCGTCACGAACAGCTATCTCACAAACAAGGTGAATACTTAAACCGAGCTAGAGGAGGAATAACTTAAAAAGCAATTAGAAATTGGTTTACTGAAATTCCAAAGCTTTTAGGTGAAAACGCTCAATATTTAAATGATTCGATGCGCGTTTTCAATATGGATAAGAGAGGTTTTCAGTTGTCACCAAAAACTAATTTATTAATTGGTGAACGAGGAAAAAATACATAGGAAGAAAGTGCTCAAAGTAATAAAAAAAGCATCACCACTTTATTTGCAGTAAATGCCAGTGGAACCTTTGCTCCATCATTAACAATTTTTAAATATGTTTGTCTTCCAAATAGAATTATAAATACTGCCCCATCAGGAAAAAGGGAAAATGGTTGGATGACTGCAGAATGTTTTTTTGAGTATATTACAAACATTTTTCATCCATTTTTGATATAAGAAGAAATTCGTTTACCAGTTATTATTTTTTTTGATGGTCATGCGTCACATTTTTTTATCGAACTTAATGAGTTTTGCTCTAAAAATGGAATAATTTTTGTTGCTTTGTTCCCAAAATGCAACACATATTTTGCAGTCGCTCGATGTTTTTGGGCCAATGAAAGAAAAGTGGAAATCTTTTTGCATTGACCATGAAGGACCAGAAATAAACAATGAAAATGTACCAGAAACATTAAATTCATTTATAATTGATCCTTCTATGGCAAATAATGTTAAAAGCGCTTTTAAAAATACTGGAATATTTCCATTTGATGCTAATAGCGTGGACTACACAAAAATCGTTCAAAGATTATCTGAGTCAACTGTGGCTCCGACTCCTTATTTAGAAAAGAATCAATCAAGTGTGACTTTATCAGTTTCCTCTCCCATAAACTTCATTGAAAACTGCATTGATCCAAGTATTTTAGGGCAGTTTAAAATAGCTGACGAACATTTAGGTTGGAAAGGTGATCTTGAATAACTCCAGCTGTATCATTTTTGGAAAAGATCCTCATCTGAAACATATAAGACCACAATTTTACCTGATGAAATACAACAGGGTTATAAAAATCTTTCAACAACTTGTAATTTAGAAAATGTGCAAGTTAAAACCGGTATGGAAATGCCTGATTGCAATATTGCAGCGGTAATAGAACCAAAACCAGCTTGTTCAAGTTTAAAAATAGCAGCAGAAATCATAAATCCAATTAAAAGTGTTTTAATATGGCCAAAACAACCAGTCCAAACGTCCAAGCGCAAAACAGAATGTTTACCATTGGTTGAAACATTTAAAACGTGGCAGCAAATTCAAAAGACAAAATTGCAAGAAAAGTCACAATTAAATGATGAAAAATTAAAAAAGAGACAATTAGCTGTAGATAAAAAGTCTAAAATAGAGGAAGAAAGATTAAGAAAGAAACAAATAGCTATGGAGAAAAAGTTATTAAATGAAAAAACTAAAAAAGAAAGTGAAAACATGAAATCTTTGAAAAAGAAAAAGAAAGTCGCAAAAGAAAAAGTAAGCCTTAAAACTGAGTCAGAAAACGAGTTCCATTGTTAACAATAATTATAATATAAGACTCAGATAATTATGATGAAATTCTATCCTTTCCAGTTTAAAAGATTTGTACTAAAGTAATGGAAATGCTTCAAAAATCTTTAGTTTTAATTCAAAATAATATTTTCATTACTATATAATTAATGTTTATTTAATAGTCTTTTTTTTTAATTTATATACCTAAAAACGTTTAATAAAATGTTACTAATGTATTAAATTCTCATTTGAAACCGCAAGCGCATTTTAAACCAGTTACTAAAGCAGATTTTAAGATATACGATAAGTGTCAACAATATATACGAAAAGTGTGAAACACTTACGAGAAATGGAAAACTGCGCTTTAAAAGTTTGATCAAAATAAGTACATAATTGATTTAAATTTCTAATAAATTTCTACTTTTTGAGTAATCTAACATATTATAAGAACTTTTGTTAAACTCACAGTAAGTGTGGAAACGACCCTATATATATTTGTTTTTTTTTTGTTTTTTTAGGAAAGTGGGGGAGGGTAAAGTAGATAGTATAATAAAAGGTAAGGGAAGTAGGTAGTGCGACAAAGGCAAGAGCATAGAAATAAAAATAAATCTTAGAAATTATTATCAAAATTTATTTTTAAAACATTATCAAAAAGTTATTTACTAAACAACTGAGTAACTATATATAAAAATTATAGAAATACAGTATATAACTTGAGAAAGATTAAACTCTTTCAAGGATTCAGTAGTATATATTTAGAATGTCAATATTTGAAATAAATGCAAAAAACAATTCAATAAATTTCTTAAACATATGAAACCAAAACTTTATTTTTAGTTTTATAGAAAAAATAGAAAAAAATCATGTCTTCATAGGAAAAATGGAGGATAACAGTTTTTCTATTTTATTTTTTGTTTTTTTTATGTTTTTTTTTTTTTTTAAGTGATAAAAGAAAAGTAAAAAAACTTAATTAGGTTTAAATACCTTCTTTCTAATTTTTTTTGCGTCTGATTTAGTAGAACCACATAACTTTTGGATTGGAGATGAAATCTCAAGAGAAATATCAGAGAGTGTATTAACATTTTTTACAGGTTGTAACTTTGATTTGTCAAAAGATGCAAGTAATCCAGTCAATAAAATCTTGCGATAAATAAAAGGATATTTAACTCGTACAAATTTTGTAAGCTTTACAACTAGACTCAAATATTCCTAAAACAAAATTATCAATTTCAAACAGTGTATGCATATATATATATATATATATATATATATATATATATATATATATATATATATATATATATATATATATATATATATATATATATTTATATATATATATATATATATATATATATATATATATATATATATATATATATATATCAGGGCCTATTCTAGGAAAAAAATTTGGGTGGCACAATTTTTTTCCTAGAATAGGCCCACAAATTTTTGCAGCATTGTTTCATTTTTTTACATGAAAAACTTGTTAAAAAAATAATAAAATTTTTCACAAACAAATAGCAATTAGTTTTCTTGCTTTCCTGTCCATTGATAAAAACAGTAAAGTTTAGCAAAGACATTTGAAAAACAAATTTAAAAACTGTCCGTGTTTCTAGCGCAATTTATAAAGTATTTACTTTATTTATAGACTGAAAAAAGTTGTAAAAATTGTATATCAAAAAATATTTTTATTTTTGTTATATTCTTATCTACTTTTTCCTCAACTTGTATCAATTTTGGTAGTGGAAAATAACAAACGCTCTAAAAATAAGAAAACAAAACAGTAAATATTTAGGTATATTATTTTTTTGACAACAATTTTATTTTTTTTTATTAATAAATTTTTTTTATAGATTATTTTATTTAGGTTTTCTATTTCGTATAGTCTTTGGTCCTTTTCTTCGAGTATTGCTGATTTATTCTCTAGCTTCTTATAGCTTTATTTTGCTAAGAATTCTTAAAACCTTTACTATATAAAAATGTGGTCAAGTTATTTTAAAAAATTACTTTAAGCATGGACGTACTAGGTGTGCAACCACACGCGCTTTCCAGGAAGGCTTGATATATATATATATATATATATATATATATATATATATATATATATATATATATATATATATATATATATATATATATATATATATATATATATATATATATATATATTATATATATATATATATATATATATATATATATATATACAGTAATGTGCAAATTAATTCATCATCAAAATCAAAAACAATAAAAATCAAAAAATCAAAAACAATAAAAATCCAAAACAATAAATTTTTAATAAAAATATTAAAAAATTATACATTAATATTCTGTGTGTCCTCCAAGTGCTGCTATGACTTTTTGCACACAATGTGGCATAGAATCTTTTCAAATTTTTACAAATGTTTTGGATTTCAGTGTCTTGAAACTGAATCTTAAGTGTTAAGTTTAGTTTTAGTTGTGCAGTCCTTTTTTATAATTGTCCAGAGATTCTCATGGCATCTGTAAGTAATGGTTTTTTAGAAAGTTTTCTGGCAAACCTTTCAACCTCTTCCACATTATATATATATATATGTATATATATATATATATATATATATATATATATATATATATATGTATATATATATATA